AAACATTGCATGGTCTCACAGGCTGCTTAAGTTGATTAAACAAATGTGACAAGGATGGAAATGCAGGAGAGCCTCAGAACCAGAGCACTGCACTTGGTGGGAGTTCAAATTTATGCACAGAGGAAGCAGCAGCTCTTGATAAGTACAATCCACGATGTGGGAGGTGGGGAGGGACATTAACCTGCTTCAGCAAATGCAGAGGAGGCCACAAACATGTTCAGAGGGCTGGAGTACCTCTGCTCCGGAGACAGGCTGAGAGAGCTGGGCTTGTTCAGCCTGGAGAAGATAAGGCTCTGGGGAGACCCTCGAGCAGCTTCCAGTGCCTAAAGGGGCTACAAGAAACCTGAAGAGAGGCTTTTGATAAGGGCATGTAGTGATAGGACAAGGGGAAAGGGTTTTGAACTGAAAGAGGATAGATTTAGATTAGACATTAGGAAGAAGTTCTTCACTGTGGTAAGACGCTGGCACAGATTGCCCAGAGAAGCTGTGGCTGCCCCATCCCTGGCAGTGTTTCAAGGCCAGGTTGGACAGGGCTTGGAGCAACCTGGTCTAGTGGAAAGTGTCCCATGGCAAGAGGTTGGAACTATACGAGCTTTAAGGTCCCCTCCATCCCAAACCATTCCATAAGTCATGGAATTTATTTACTCTTTTGGTCACAGACTAATAACAGCATTGAAAAATATCTTTGCAACAAAGCCTCCAATTAAAAGAAAATAGGAACAGAGGATATGCTAGCACTGTCACACCCTGAGTGGTGTTTGGTTCTTAAGTGATGTCAGATGAATATACTAGTCAGGACCCTCTGTTTGGAGGTAAAGTAACAGAACTGAGCCCCCACATTTCTGAATTGCTGAAATAGGTCTTCATTTTGCAAATGGTTAGTAGTTCATCACTAATGCCTGAGGAATAGTTAACCCAAGATTCATCCACAGAGAGCAGAGCTATGGCTGAAGCACATTTTCCATGCATTCTGGGAGAATGGCACGTCAAAGCTGACAGCTGTTATGTGGGTCCAAGAGATATTTACCCACCTTTTACATCTAGAATAATATATTTTAATTAGATTTTCCACCTTTACAGCAGGAATATCACCCAAAGATTGAAATAATTTCTGAAATGACAAATGACAGCGATTCAGCATTAGAGGAAGACAATAAAAGCATGTTTGAGAATTCAGAAGAAGTCCCAACAGCAATCTTTTCAAATGCATGTAAGATACATAAAGAGCATGGAAAGGAGCACTTAAGACCCCTTGTTGAAAGCTTCTTTACACAGCCTGCTAATTCCAAAAGATACCAGGAGATCAAAGATCAACAAGCAACCCCCTCAAGACCCTTGATACAAGAGATTAACTCTGAGCCCAAGGATAATCTACTCTTGTCACCAGTCTACAAGCAACCAGGTGACCCAAGCCCAACAGAAGAGGATGGTAAGTTTACAGGGACTAATTTATAACAGAGAAAACAGTGGCTGGCACATACATATTAAACATTTGTTCAGCTCTGTTGTTGAGAAAATTTTCAATCCATGGTTAGTTGACAGTCACCTCTTCCTTTTATTTGCGTGGGAATCCCAATAAATTAGGAACTAAAATGTTATTTTTTTCTTTTTCTACACAGGATTTCTTGCAGAGTTTTATTTAAATGTTTTTTAAAATTTGGGCCCTACATTTCTTTTTCCAGTATTACAGACCACTGGTGAGTTTTAATTTGCCTTTTGCCTTCATGCTTTCAACAGGTAGTGGCAGCAATGGAGAAGCACAGTACCCAGCTGAGAGTGAAGGATGTTCTCACGAGGCATGGGACGACAAAGACAGTGAGAGTGGTTTAGATTAATCACTTTGCAAAAAACTCCAAGTATTCAGGGCAGCTGGCAGCATTCACTCCTCTGTGAGTGCACTATTGTGTTACAGTTAAATTAATTTCTGTGATGTCATTTTTTCCCTTGCATCCTAGGAATTACTTGGTTGAATGTTTATGTCTTAAGGTTTCATTACATACGTACTTCCAGTGCATACTGTAACATGTCTCTCTCACTTGAGCTAAATAAAGATTTTACTTGTAACCACATATATTTTAACTTGTATAATCTCATATTTCATACCAGATGAACCTTAATGACAAACGGAGATTGCTTCTCAACATGGTCTTTTATGGATCTAACATTCATAGACATCATTGTTTATGCAAAAAGAGATGCAGAACTAGTGTCCATGCATGAACATCTGGTTTTACCTGTTAGGGCGATCCGTGATGGATCATATGCTTGTATCTGCCATTTTCATCATTTTTCATTGTGTGATGTATGTCAGGATCTGAATTTCAAACAACAGAAAAATAACCAGCTTGGTAGTCATGGCGGAAAGGCAGCTTTGGTGCAAAAACCTGATCGAAGGAATTCTTCTTCCGTTTGCTTCTCTCATATACCACAGTCACAGTCTTGTGCCAAAGTGAAATGTAAGATAATAGCAGTGGTGCCTCAGCCAGGTTCTCTCTTACTCCCCCTCTTCTGAGCTGGAGAATAAAATTTGAGGAAGCAGATACTGCTTGAGTGCTTCCTCTGCAATTCCACAAAAGATTCCTGTCCAACACCACTTGGACAACCCTTGGCCAATTCTGCTGAACCATTCATGGCTCCTTTTCCTCACCCAGCAGGTTAAAAAAGTTAATTGCACACTGTTTAAGCACAACATAATGAGTTGGCCTCATCTTCAAGTGCTGATGTTTTAGTGATTTAACAGCAACATGAAGAATAGGTTAGGCATTAAGTGACCTCACATCATTAAGCCACACCCAAGTTTAGATGGATGTCTTTTTTCATATTTCTAAAAATGTCTAATAGTGTTTAATAAACGGAATTGAACAGGTCTTGTAGATGTGCACATTTATAGAAAAGAAATAACTACTATGGGCTTGTTGAAAAGATAGATTTTCAAGTAGCTGGGGTTAGGTGTCATCTGGTGGCAAGAGAACTGGTCCTAAGTAACACAATCGTAAAAAGCCCTCAGGGAAGACCGCAAAATTGCTTTAAATTTCAGCTATTTTCCACCTTCTGTGAGTACAAACATGCTGATAAAATCCGTGGCCTCCAGGACAGGGCAGGAGGATGAGCAAGGGCCTTGGAGGACAAGCTTATCTGGAAGCATCCCCAAGAATCTTCTTGGAAAGCTGCAAATGCTGCCAACAACATCTGTGAGCTTCATTTAACAATCATCTCCCCTTTTCTCAGAAAAAACTTATAGCCTGGGGTTGTGTGTTTTTGTGCTGCATATTAATACCTGTCCTGTTACCCCTTTGCTGCCTGAGACAAGAAGGCACAAAATGAAATACAAACCTTTGTAAGTAAGTAGAATCAGTTCTAAGTAAGGTCAAGTTTGATGGCTTTGTAACAGTAGGAATGGAAAATAACTGAGGTACATGTTTCACAGAACTAAAAAAAAATAGAGTGCAGATAGAGAACATAATAAGAACCCTTGTATAAGATAAATCATTGTAGTTGGTGTAGTTTTAGGTCCTTATGACCTTAGTACAAAAACAAGTGTAAGGAAAACAGGATAGAAAAAGAGAACATGTAGATAAAGAGTATCTGAAACTAGCAGGTGTCCAGGATGGGCTGCAGCTAAGCTAACTGATAAGTAGGACAGGATGATTATGTCTGCAGTGTTACCAAACCGATTAAGCTGCTGTAAGCATTATCTACTGCACATGCTTCAGAGGCTGCCAGAAGTGATGAAGCTTGTTGGAAGAAGTAAACGACTCCCAAAGACCACCACCACATTTTTGTACACATGCGGGGAAACTTTCTAGAAGAATGATGTAATACATAAGTAGCCTCATGAATATGCAAACATATACGTAATGAATATATATATTTAGCGACTATATAAGAACGGCTTAGTTTAGCAATTCGGAGAGACACGCTAGGAGGAGCTATCCCCCGTGTGCCCCGGCGCCGCAATAAATACCTGCTTGTCAACTTAAAACTCTGTTGGTGAGTTCCTGGAGATTTCTCCAAATCATGCCCTAAGAGAAAACAAGCAGGAAGGACCATCTGATCATGTCCCAGTTACAAAAGGAAAGTGTTTATATAAAAGGTAATTGCAAGAGTAAAATTTGAACTCTGTTACCACTGAAAGCAAGAAAATAAAGATAAGAGTTGCAACTATTGATTCTTTTATCTTGATTTTACCAGACACACCCACCCTAACAGGCATTTTAATTGCTAGAATTCAGCTGCTCTCTGAGCTGTGTTTATTGTGCCACGTTTTACCCACCAGATCTCATCAGTGAGCCCTACATCATCTCACAGGTGACCATCCTTAACTCCTGGAGGGATTTTTATCCTCCTTGGGAAGGAGGAAAGGAGTAAGGGAAAGTAGTGAGAGAAATGCCAGAGCAGGACTAAATGAGAAAAAGGAAACACGTTTAATTAGTGTTTTCTGTAAAACTTTACAAATATACAGCATAGTGCAAAAACGCAGTCTCAGCATGTCACCTTCAAGTCAAATTAACAATGTAAAAAGCCAAGGAACACAAGCTTGCTTCTTCACAGGTCTGGCTCTTGAATACTGTTCCTGAAGATTCCTCTCTCACCATTGAGCTCCAGTCTTTTGTTTTTAGTAGAGCACAAAGCCTAAAGAACAACCCAAGAGCCACCCTGAGGGGCTGCTCAAAGAGGGTGCAGTCTGCTTGGCACTGTTAAAATACTGCAGCCCCATGCTGCCTGAGCTGCACCTCTGCCTACCCATAAGTAGCTCTCCTAAGCTACTTAAGGGTTCATTCTCAACCCTAACTAGACAACCCAGTAAGACTGACTTGGAAGCACATGTCTAACCTCAAGCATGCAGTAGGCTTCATAAAAATATGGGAAAACTACTAGGAGCTTGAAGTTAAGCACATGCTAAAACCTTACCAGATCAATACATTCAGTGTTAACTTTAAGGTTAAGCACATGCTTAAACCTTACCAGATCAATACATTCAGTGTTAACTTTAACACATGTCTAACCTCAAGCATGCAATAGGCTTCATAAAAATATGGGAAAACTACTAGGAGCTTGAAGTTAAGCACATGCTTCAACCTTACCAGATCAATACATTCAGTGTTAACTTTAAGGCAATCTAGCATGTGAAGGTTCAGAGAAGGATGTAAATCCTGAATGGGGACAACATGCAGTTAATAGAAGACACCAGACAATTTTCAATCATGAGAAAAGAAATAAACAGAGTGCAGCTCAACCACTTTCCATCTCTGGAAATGACAAAATACAGTGGCAAATGGATTGATCTAGGTGAACTGTCAAAGCACAAATCTGCCAGAAAGGGAAACCTACACTCAAGCACATCATCTAAATACCTGGCCAATAGGGCTGCCAGCATTCTCCCTCAGTCCTGAACAAAAATAACCAGTGTATGGAATTCATTCAGAAGCTCTCACAACCTCACTCCTGCAAAGTCTGCACCACCACAGTGGTGGCAGAGCTCCCAGCACACAGTAATTACCTGGGGAAAAACATGCTCAAAAATTCATGTTTCTGAGCTAACACATCTTTCACATACTGATAAATGGATGGAGGGAAGGGCTCTGACAGGAAGGTCCACTGAAAACATGCTCATCTTACTAAGGAGAATGTGAGCCTGCATTCACCTGATTATATTTTGGGTCGGATGCTCAGAAATACAGTTTAGAACCAAGAGTCATCATGGCAGTGGAAGCAAGCAGAGTATTTCTTCAAATGATACTGGCACAGCTCACACCTCCCTGTCTAAGCCCTTAGGAGGCCTGAGTTAGATGAATTTCCTGGATGTTTCTTACTGCATTAGGGTAGCTTTCCTAAGGAAAAGCAACTCAGAAGCTACTGAGATAAATAATACGTTCTCATTAGAACTACTAGAATAAAAAACAAAGCTCTGCTTTGTTGAGAAAATCAGTTGTCAGAAACCATATGGTAGAGGAAGATTAATTCAACCTTTGGAGGCTGGTCTCAGGTGCACAAAGGACAGGAAGAAAGTTAGTGGACATGGTGGACTAACCCTTCTGCCTCTCTCCTACATAGAGCAGCTGAGAGCCCTCCTAAAAAGGGGATCCAATCTATTAAATTGGTTCATCAGATTTTATACATCAATAAATCAACAGGCACATCTTCAGGGGAACTAGAACAGGTCAAGGCCAAGGGAAAAAGACGTTGGACTGGACATACAACGCTTAGCCAGCACCAAAACCCAGAGTCCACCTCCGCTGTCCTCTTTGCAAAGTGGAAAGTTGTGCAGGCACAAGAATCTATCCCTTTTGTTTGTATGTTAGAAGAAATAAATTTAGGGGAAAAACATCCCAAACAACAAACCCCTTCAACTCAGCACAGGATGTTTTGGGTTCTGTAGTGGTCTGTAGCTCCATTGGGAGCCAGAGACACATTCTGAGTGGTCACTCAGATAATTACCTTCTGCACACCAGAAGAGATCTTCATTTTCCTACTCACCCTAGGACGATAAAGAAGTGGCACAAATACATCCCATAAAAACCAGAAAATCAATAAAGGAATATTTTTAAAGCATTGGACTGGCATATAGAACTATTTTCCTATTAAAAAAAAAACAACCAGCATCCAGAAGGGTCAGGCATCTTAGCTAATCTGTGCTGCCCCAATAAAATCCAGTATTTTGCTGTTGCAGACACTAGTTGGGATCATTATATTTTATGAAGTCCCTGATGTACTTTCAAGCTACTCTTCACTTAAATTTTATTAAATTTGAAACTTCTAAAAGCACTTAAAAGGCAAAAATCCCCAAACCTGCCAAGTTCTCACTCCCCACAGGAGCAAGCACCAGAAGCAGTATTTCATTTAAAATTGCTGTCCTGGGCAAACACTGAAATTCAGGTGCAGGGAGGGTAATGCAACAGCTACTGAACATTTCCATCTACTGAAAAAGAAAGGGGACAAAAAGAAACTCTCTTGTGGGTTTCTGAGTCACTTTTGTTTCTTTACATTCAAAACTGTGGATGCTTGGATGGGTGGGAGGGAGACATCATTTCTTGGAATCTAAATCACTGATTGTTGTCAGTTGAGGAGCTCAGGTTTAATGGGATCTCCCCTTGGACACCCACAGAGGACAGGTAGGAAGCCATACTGTCAGATGGAACATATAGCGATGAACTCTCAGGCAAGTTGATGAGGTCATTTCCAAAGACTGACTGACGATCAACGAGGAACTGCTGGGTGCTTTCAAGAATGACATCTCTCCCTGCAATACAAACGGACAAGAGAAAACTCAGTTTCTGGAAGGCAATTTACCAGGCTTTACGTACGTAGAACTGAAAAAGTGGCAAATCCCCACTGCATCAGGAGGTGAGGGGGCCTCATTCCAGGCAAAAAATGCTTAGAAACACTTGAGTCAAACTCAGACTCACTCAAATGCTCATTAAAATCAGTAGGAATCTCTGCAGGTTGCCAAGCTGGATTCTGCCTGAATGCTGAGGTGCCTCACAAGAAGTCAGAGTGATGACCAAATGGTTGGAGGTACTGGAAAGCTTCTCTTCTCCTTCACTCAAGAATTGTCTGGTTTTCCTCATCTTTGCAGAAGGAGACATCTGTCAATTGCCCCACTATTCCAGCAGCATGCCACTGCAGGGACTGGAAAGGCTTTGCAAACTCCTGTGCAGTGCACAGGATGCTCCTCCTGTGCAGTTCAGCTCCAGCCTGCTGAAGAATTCTCTCCAACATAGCTGGGCTTCTAACACCTTCGATGCTCATGCAAGATGCTAAGTTTAAAGTGGAGACTGGAAGTCCTTGAACAACACACAACGTGTCCAGATTCTCAATTGGTCTCAGATCGCTACAGTACCAAGTGGAGGCTCACAAAAACTTTTCTTTCAGGTCTAGCCCAGCTGAATACACATGAAAATAATATCACTATTCCAAGACCAGGAAAACACATCTGGTTTCATATCTAAGGTTGATGACACACTTTATCAGAATCAGTGGGTGAGAGAAGGTCAGCTGGAGAAGCTGAGACATAACCTTGACTCTGCCTGCTAGCCACTACCGGGTCACCTCTCTGCAGCAGGAGGAAAAGGAAACACAGCACCCATGCAGTCCTTACTACCCCTAGCTGCTTAGATCCCCACATTGCTCTTAGGTGGCAATGAACAGGCAGAGGAGATACCAGTAGATACAGTGACGACCCAAGCAGAAAGAGGTAGTTCAATTACATTTAAGCCTCAGTTTATCACCCATACTTTTCCCACTGCTCAGTAACTTGCTTCACAGTTGTTATGGAAACATTGCGGATTGACAATCATGAAAAGTCAAATAACCAATATGTTTTGTACCCTCAAAGAGGCAAATGGTCAGTGCTGGATGATGCATCTAGCTGCTGACATGTTTAACACCTTCATTACATCCCCATTCTCCAGTCTGCAAGAGCTGCCAGTGCTCCTACCTGGGCAGGTGCTGTTAAACGGTGGGTTGAACACTTTTGAGGACAGCTCAGTTGCATTCTTCTCCAGATCCACTGTGAGACGCTGCATCTTGATGCAAAAATATAAACTACAATGTACAATTATACAAAGACAGGGGAGCTCGTTAGAACTAGACCATTTCTGAAAAATCAGTGCTTCATCAATGCTGCGCTCCCTGCCCTGCCTCTCCTCTACTTTGCTAAAACAGCCAAAAGTGTGTGCTCAAGGGAAGAATGCCTGATGGAGAGGGCTAAAGGAGATGTAAGCCCCTGTCAGCACTGGCTAGGATGGCATGAGGCTCATGCCACACAAGGAGACCAGACTAGTGTCACTGGCCATCACCGCCTGGCTGCCAGACAAAGCAAACCCAGAATTCTCTGGAGCCAGCAACAAATATGAAAGTAATCTTTCATATTTTAATGGATTTCTTTCTGTTTCCATATAAATGGACTCTTCCTTTCATTTGCCTTTGACTGTTTAAAGTACAACTAGCTTCTGCCTGCATGGCACTTCTAGGCACAGAGTTGCAGCAGGTATTACCTTCCAGGCTTCTCTGTGCTCAGAACTTCCTGCAGGACAAGCAAGCGTACCTCTGGGGGGCTACACCAGATGCTGGGACTTGAGAACTGAACTCTAGAACATTGCAGCCTCCTCCTTGGCCTTTCCTCTAATGCAATCCTTTTAAAAAGAGACTGTCCCTTGCTTCCACAACTTGCTAATAATATCTATCTCTTCAAAGACTCTCCCTCTTAACACTCAGGAAGTGGAATTTCCTAATAAATTTGAAATGATTAGATCAAAACTTAAAAAGGACAGTGATATCATGAAGCAGGCTTAGAGACCTTTCACACATCATTAGAACAGATTACACTTTGCTTGCACATTTGTAGAGATGGCAGAACTATCCAAGTCTTTATCCAACCTGGCTGGCAATGAAGGCTCTGAAAATTTACCCTTCATGCAGCAGGAAAAAGAACCCAGCCACAAATTATACATTTCCTTCACTGCTTATTAAATCACCATGTGCACTTCAGAAATGCCTGTGTCAATGTCAATCCCCAAAAAATACTGCCAAGCAATTCCTCCTTGTTTCTTCTGTAGGAGCATGCATGAACCTCTATTCTAATCACACATGGTTTCACTGTTCCCGAGATGTACAGGGATGGCTGCACTTTATGAAGAGCTTTTATCACAGACACTTTATGAATCTTTGGTATAAGCAGGATCTGATATTCATGCCAAAAGAAAGTTCAGAGCCAGTTTCAATTAAAGACTCCATAACAGCAGTGTGTTTCTAAACAAGCTCTGGATTAGTGGGAGAGGCAGCTCAAGAGTATAAGGTAGCACTCTCAGCCTAGCCCCAGGAGATGTGTACTTGCTGTGCTTTACCACTCTCCCCTCTGTTTGTAAAATATCTCAGCATTCTTCAGTTATGCACAAGCCTTGCATCATTATTATTATTATCTGAGAAATACACATTGCTTACCGGGGACAGACTAGCTTCCATTTCAGTCAAATTCCACTCATTGAAAGATAAATTGGGATTAAAGACCTGTTGAGAGAAAAATACAATGAGGGCTCAAAGATGTCATGGTTTAGGACACGCCAATGCTCATCTGCCTGCCTTGGCTGCCTGCTGGGGTCACAACTGTGCTGGCAGAGATACCAGAAAACAATTCTGGCCTGTGCCTCAGCTCCTACAACATACTGGCTGAAGTGGCAGGCTCCATGAGTATTGATCTGCAGCACAGCTAGAACAGCACGGGTGCAGTGGTGGGCACTTGTGCTGAGCCACAAGCCTTGCTGCTGCCAGTGGTGGGACAGCACAGACAGAGCAGTCACCCTGTGTCAGTCACGCTGTAAACCAGGGCAGCTATTTGTGTTACTGCACATCCAAGTCAAAGCCCTTTCTTGCTGCTTTTGGGTCACACGACACTTACAGATTCATATTTTTTTGAAAGCATTCCAAAACATGGTAGAAGAGGGCAGATTACTGCTGCATCAATGCCTCAATGGCCATTTCTTAAGAAGTCTGAGCAACCTGGGAAAAGAGCTGTTCATCGGGGGATACAGTTTTATGATTCATTCTCACCTTTGTGACGTTGAGTGGCACAGAAAGAAAAGTGTGTCAGTAACAGGAAAACATCTTTTAATGAGAAATAAGAAACAGAAACCAGTGGAGTCAGTGATAGAGTAGGTCATTAGAAAAGCTTACTGTAAAGTCAAAATCAATCACAGACACTTGGGAATTAGCTTTAAGAGAATAAAATTGATTTTTTTTTAATGATTCTTCATTCCTACTTATCCATGCAAGCTTACCGTGTGTCTGTATTTGAAGCACCTCCTCAAGGGAGCATATATTTGACATACAGATTCTTACATACAGAGTTATTTGATTATTGGCAAAAACCTTTTATATACTAACCATATGTATGGGGGGAGAGAGAAAGAGATAAATAAACAAGCCTTCATATTGCTGCATATGTAGTTAACGAAAAAGTCACCATCCATTTCTAAAGAAAAAAAGTGACCTAAGAACTGCAGACAGATAAATATCTCAGCAGAGAGAAAATGTGACATCAGCTACACTTCCCATAATGTGAAGAAGAGGGGAAGGTAGTAGAGCTAAACAGTCTCGGAGTAGCTAAGATGCAGAATATGCAGAAAATACTCTAACCCACCCAAAGCAATTACCAAACTAGCTAGACGGTTGTATTAAACCTATTTTACATAAATGTGTTAGGTCTCGTGTTGATGTCTTCACCAAGTGCACTGTGTTTTGTGCTTCGTGAAGTTCAAACATGTATTTTCAGAACAAATACAAAAAAGCATCATTTAAAGTCTGAAATCTTGCCAGCTCTTTCAAGCAGGTCAAAATAGGGCAGCATCTTGACAGATAAAGTGCCGCACCAGGACAAGCAGCGCGGTCTGTGTGTCTGTCTGATTTACAGCCCAAAGTACCACTGCGAACCCCGCAACTGCTCCCTGCAGCCGGACACTCACATCCAAGAGGCTGGCTGGCTCCAGGCCATACTGCTGGCTCCTCAGCAGCAGCTGCAGCCCTTCCAAGCTCCAGTCGGAGCCCTCCAAGGGATCTGAAATATCTGTTCTGAGAAAAGACAAGGGGAAATATTGCCACGAATGAGACTTGCATAGATACATATAGAAAGCAGGACTGAGCAGACTTCCAACATGAGTTTATACTTAAATCTCTTTCTGAAAAAACAGAGCTCACTGTCAGCCTGGTTTTATGCCATATAACTTGCTTTAGCCCCAGAAGTACAACCCAGCAGAGCACACAGGGAGCTGGGCTGGCGGTAAAACAGGTGGGACTACTTTCCTGGGTGACATGTGATTTGGGGATGGAGAGTCTGTGCACATCTCCTCAAGACTGGGATATGCAAAGCTCTCCTTGGAAGAAATCCTAGAGAGGCACTTGGGATCCAGAATAGGCTGTATTCCCATCCTACTGGGTCCAAGATGGCTGAATTAACTAATGGTTTTCAAGGCAGCCTGCCTTGAAATTATTTTTCAATGATTTTTTTAGGATTATTTTTCTTCTAATAAAATGGTTTGAAGTACCCAGTGGGTTCAGAAGGAGGAATTTGGTTCTCTGTAAGGAACCAAAGGAAAATAGAAGTCTTTCTGATAAACCTATAGTGTTTTTTCTGCCCCGTTGTCCTTACATTGCTGCAGTTGCCATCAAGAATGAATTCTGCAATTGTAGACCATGCTCTCCTCCAGATGAAGTCTGCTGTGCACTCACTCACGACACTGGTGCTACTGGGATTTCAGGCTCAGCCCATGGCAGACTCCAACTCCAGAAGTGGCTCACCCTGACTGCACTGTGGCTGAGCCTAATGGCACTGTCGAAAGCCCCTTACAAGAGGACATCATCTTCTGGGTGACTGTCACATGCAGGATACCTGCATGGCCTGGTTTCAAAATAATGAAACCTCCATCCCTTTGCACCAGAACCCTGCACTCAGTGAACATAAACTCTCTACTCTCCATCCCTGTGAGTTGCCTCAGCTGCTATTTCGTGATTTTAAGGCACGATTTTGCACCCTTTTATAAAGCCTTGCTTTGGATGCCTAGCATTTTACTGAGCCACTCCAGCTCAAGGAGGCAAGCATGGTAATGCAGCTAAGTTCTGTGGGGTTTCACTCTAAGTCAGAAATGGGGAAACCAGATCTCTTATGCTGCCAGCTCCCCGGTGCCTCCCCAGAGCATGCTGTCACATGGTGACTGCCCTCTGAGGACAGATCTAGTACTGAAAGAAGAAATCTTGGAAAGGGGATAGGAGGAGAGGCACAGGGAGAACAGAGTAAGGAGAAAAGTCTATTTGACTTCACAGTACAGGAGAGGAAAAGACGGGGCAAATTATTTCCTTCTCAAGCCCAAGCCTGGACCTGATGAATGCTTTGATGCCCTATCAAATATATGCCCTACTTAGTGATTGTCACTGTCCATCACTCTCTGTATACCAGCACACAAATGAAAACTCATTCACTGCACAGAAACACCACTGACAAATATTTCCTTATGACTTTACATAATGACTCAACAAAACAAGTGGCAGAAGGCACACAAGCTATTGGAGGTGTAGTGTGGTGCAGTGGCCTGCAAGTCTGTAGAGATGGACACCTGGAACTTGGGCAAATCCCTCTCACTGCAAAAAGCCTCTTCCTGCTTCCATGGCTCTGACACACACGCTCTGACAGCTCCTTCTCTGCTGGGTCCCTCAAGCAAACTCATCCACAGATCCCCCTACCCCTGTGAGCTGTCCCCTGGGCTTCAAGCATTCTCTAAGCAGGTGCCACAGGTACAGGATGGAGCTCACCAGGCTGCATTAGATGACAAATTCAGCCTCCCTTTCTCTGCTGTGAATGGGAAAAGAGGGCCATGAACACACAGGGCTGCAGCAATCCCTTGCGCCCCTCACCTGTCCAGCAGTGCCCTTCTGCCTCTTCTCTCAGATGGTTGCGAGGTCCCTGGAGGGGCCGTGCCACAGCTCCCTTTGCCTTCCAAAACAGACTGAACCATGGCCACTGGAAGCACGGGAGGCTCGGAGCAAGCCTGGCAGCCTGGCAGCGGGACATCAGGCTCAGTGGTGGCTTTCACTCCGGGGCTGACTGGCTCTTCCTTGATCAGCATGAGGCATTTCTCTCTGTATCAAAGACAAGACTTAGCACCACACACACATCTATCTGCTCTACAAAGGCCTTGCTGGGAAGTGGAATAGAACAAGGGCTTGCTTTCAATTCCCAAACTGCCCCACAGTGTCTTTCCACTTCCCTAGACAGGCAAAAGAAACCAGCAACATTTCAGCAAGATCTAGAAACATGCTCATCTGGAATACCTTCAGTTACTCCATCAGTCAGAATTACACTGAATTTGCCCCTTTCACTGTTTGCAAATATGGAAAATACACTTCCATGTATAAATCATTCCTCAGATGAGCATTAAACTTGAGACAAGCTAAAGGGTCACAAGGCTAGGGATGTTCCCCTGGAAAAGTCTCCACCCTAGAGATAGCAATGGGATTGGTAAGACCTTTTCCATGCTGGAGTTAGGATGTAACCAGCAAGCACTCTAGATCCCAATAACACAGGTCAGGACCTTGGGCTCTGAAGGATTTGGAACAGAAGCTGTCAAGATCTAACAGTCCCAGTCAGATGTTTTACTGGTTTGAAATCAGAGGTCAGCCTTTTTCCAGTGGAAAAGGCACTTCCGGTTACTGCTAGGCAGACACTGAAGTTTTGAATAGTAGCATTTTGTATGTAAAAATCTACTCCATACTACTAGTAGGTGATTTTACAGCTCCCTGGGATCCTGCACAACTGGAGACAAAGGGACAAAGTCCTGTAGATCAATAGGCACAGGGCATGGAAAGCCATACTGGAAAAATACCGTCTTACGCCACTTACAGACTAGCTTTGCTGTATGACAACACACAGGTGTGTCACACCTAGGGGGTAGGATGTGACTCTACAAAGCCTTCCTCAGAATTCCTTTCAGATCGTCTTCTCATCTCATTAATCCTAAACTCCCACCAGATAGTCTTGTTGGTTTAGGAAGTAGCACAGTGCTAAGCTCATGAGGGCCATGGATGGCTCAGATCCTCAGGCACAGCACAGATCAGAGGCCACCAGATGGCACTCAGTAATTAGCAGAAATAAGAAATTTGAAGGTAATAATTCGCCATTTTCTGCTTTAGAAATGGCTCCTGGTTTTTGGTGGTGGTAGTAGTTTTGCTGGTGGTGGTAGTGGTTTATTTGTTGCTGTTGCTCCTTATCTGGAGCTCTTTACATGTTTCTAGCTAATTTTATGGCTATGGTTTCAATTATGAAGCAGATTTACAGGCAATTTCTGAAGTATAACTACCTCGCCTCTACGCCTCAGAAACTGTTTCCATGATTCATCTGTCTACTTACTTTCCACTGACACTATTAGCTCTATTCTGCTACTAGCCCTAAACACTCTACATGTCTGTGGCAGGAAGAGATAAGCATTAAAATACCTCTGCCTTCAGTTCCTAAGTTACTGGGGCCTTTTCACAGAAAAGCTGTCAAACATCGGAAGTTGTTGTGATGCAGCCCTTCTGTTCTCATTAGCAGAAAGATGAATAAGTTTGATTCTGTTTCTTCTTTGCCAAAGCCAAAAAGGAAACTTCTTTTTCTCTCTCAACAAGCCCAACAAATGCTAGTACCTCATTATTTGATAAAGTCTGAGAGAGCCCCTGTCCTGAGAACAAAATATAAAAAAACATGGAATACTTCTCCAAGAGGTTAGTGGAGGTTCTCAGCATGAAAGCTGTGACTTTGTTTCCAAATTTATGCTGTTATTATCCCTCCCTAATTCAGACAATCTGACCTTCATTGGATAAAATATTCCAGCCCACAATTCCTATGGAGATTTGTGAATCAGACAGACTTTGGTAGCATTACGGCCAGGAAAAACTCTTTTAAAGTTATGCATTTCCACACTTGACTCACCCTGGTTTTTATCACAAACATGTTTACCTGTCATTTTCAGGAGGAGAATGCATATTTATTATGTTGGATGGTGATGCTTCAGTTACATCAGATATGATGGGTCCTCCAGCAACTGTGGGGCTGTTTAAGCAAGAGGCAGGTTCTGTTGATGGCTAAAAAAGAAAGCAAAAGTCGTATTTATTCTTCTGAGGCCCAGAACAAGTCCAAGGCCCTATCTGAGACACTGTTTGCTCACCATGCCCGCGTTCTCTTTGTGCAGAAACCAAGAAAGGTTTTACCTACTATGCAACAATATGATTTCCTCCTATCTTTTCTCCAACCATACAGAGGTGCAGTGCAAAATGAGCACTGTGACCGAAGTGTCAGCTACAGAGAGGATTTGCCATGGCTGATATTTTGCCTAGACTGCTTGGCTTCCTCTGGATCCAACAGAGCACAGCTGCCCTCTTGGGACCTCCTGTTCGTCAGCAACTGCAACAACCTGGCTCTGGTCAGAAAGATCATAGTACTCCCTGCGAGAACATACTTCTTCCTCGCTGTCCTTAAGGTCAGCCAGGCTGGGGTAACACCATGGAGAGTTTGGTGTGCAGGGTCTGCCTTTCCCTCCCACATCAACAGAGCAGCACAAGGGCATGCAAGTACATGCCCCTCCTGAAACAGGGGAGCTGAAGAAACAATGAATGTCACCCAGCTTGGTGTGCCTCTTCTCTGCCAAGCTCTTGCCAAACTACTTGCTGTGTAACCTGTATTATTGCTTCAAACATTTTCCCACCCCAGCCAAAGAAATCCCACAAAGCTCAGAGGCTGGTGTAAACCTACCGACTGTATGAAATAGGGGTCATGAAGGGGGTCTGTAGACAAATGCCGGCTGAACTTGGACACTTGTGGAGCTGAGATCCCGTTGTCAAGCATCAGAGGTCTGTGAAGAGAAACAGGTTTGTTTTCCCAGCACATAACTGACTGGTTCCTGGTTGTTTATATGAGAAACATCTCTCAGGCAAGGATTATTTTTCCCAGGTACTCTACTTTTCCTCAGCTGTAAGGTGCTTTCTTGTCCAGTGTTATGGACAAGAAAGGGAAACAGTTTTTGAGGTCACAGTCAGTTAAAAAAGTGCATTAGCCATATAGAGAAGAGATGATCTAGGTTTTCTAGATCTCGTTTGAAAGATACAAATAAAATAATCAGTTCATATTTTGAACTGAAGAAATTCAATTCATGCTTTCTTCTAATTGCTGGTGTTTTCAAGCTCTAGGCTGGATCCTCAGTTGCTTAAGGTAGCTACACTGGAATTATTAGTACAGTGCTGGGAATCTGGCCTTGTTACCAGCTCTCTTGAACTCAGGGCCTCTTTGGCAAGGCTACATTTTTATACATAGCGCTGCATAAACGGAACCCATGCCACCTATTAAGTAAGTAACAAAGCAGAGGGAGACATGAAGCAGAGCAGAGCCTAAACTCATTGCATACAGGCTTTTAATAAATGATTGACAGGCTTTTGCAGATGTAGTCACCGACAATAAGAAGTGGTCTGTGTCCTGGGTCTTGGTATTCAGTGACTTTGGCAACTAACCCATTTAAAGCCTCCTGCGTCAGACGTTCCTGTGACACCTACAGACATATCAATCCTGTCCATGAAGACCTTATTTATCTTATTTATCTCAGCTAAAACCTTTTTCCTCCTTCTTCTCTGTAAGGCCTGCAGGTTACCTGCCACCAAACCTGTGTTGAAGACATACCTCATGCAGTGACTGTGGATCAATCTAAAGGTGCCTGTGGGCTAGCTGCGTTCTGCTCCTACTTTGTACAGGCCCTGCTCCTGCTGATGGCAAGTGGCAAAACTGTAGGACCAGCAGTGGGGTCCTGCCCTTTACCCTTCCAATAATCAGTGCTCCCATCTCCCACCGCGCACTGTGTTCCCCCAATAAAGGTCACAAGCTGACACGGTGCTTCTCTAAAGGCCACTGAATGGGGCATGTCAGCAGGTCTGACTCGACAGTTCAGCCCATTCATTTCCCATCACCATGGTGCCCTGGTCCGGTGACCGCCCGCCTGGGCAAGCTGAGCTTGTGCTTTTAGTGAGGGGCAGCATTATGCACCCGTGAGCGTGTGAGCACCACACAAGGGTACTTACAGCTTCCTCTTTATCCCAGTGCTGCTAGGGCTTGATTGGAGCTGGCCAAACAGAAACTGAATCAGCTGTCAGGAGAGATCAAAATTCGTTGCTCATCAGCAGAGTGATTCAGCACTCGCAGCCATCCTTATCTCACGCATTCCTCCCTCCCGACACCACCCCAAAGCTGGGAGCAGCCATGGAATGTGGGAGCCAAATGGCAAGAGACACTGGAGCCCAAGACACCTCCAAGCATTCCAAGAAATCAAACGACCTGTCTCGCTTTCAAGGACCTCAGCCAGGTGCCTGCTTTGAGCAAAGGCTGATAGGTGCATGTGCTGAGTGCCTTCTCTCTTTGCTTCTGTGCAAGCAGAATTCCAGTTACCCTGATTAGACCTGGGAATCTGCCCGTGAAGTACACATGCAAATATTCCTAGGCCTGCAGTTAGACTTTTCTTCCATAAAAATCTTTAGAGACCTTTACAAGAGCCTCTATAAAGCCTAACAAAAGACTTTGCAAGTGAAAGAGGCAGCCCCCTAGGGGAGGCTCTGGATGGAGTTCTCATCTCTTTTGGATGAGTTCTTCAGCTCTGTGAAATTCAGTATCAACAGAAGAGGACTCTAAAAAGGATGCAGAATGGTTTTGGAGGGGAACCACTTGGCAACGTATTCCCAGGTCAGCTTGAGCCTAATGCCCTGCTTTGCCCTCCAGACAAAGAGAGCATTATTATATCACAGCTCTTACTCATTGCTCAATATAACACAAAAGAGTTGCATAAATGTTTCCACCATGAGTGGTGTGGCTGGCCCAGCCTCAGAGCTGGAGGAAGACTTGATAGCCTCATGCATTTCTATCTGGTCCTATGACTCTGTGATGCCACGTGAAGGTCAGAACGTAGCTCTCGGGAGGATTGGGCAATGTGACATGCTCAGTCACGTCAGCACCATCTGCGAATCACTGGAGAGGTCTTTTCTAGCACTGCTCATGCTAGGCGCTATGGGAAATGATTCTGCCGCTCTCCTTGGGTCTACAAGATTGTACAGTAATTCCTCAATCAGCAATTCCACAACTGCCCGAAGAACTGGGGAACGCTTCATCTCTGGCAGTGTTGAAGGCCAGGTTGGACTGGGCTTGGAGCAACCTGCTCTAGTGGAAAGTGTTCCTGCCCATGGCAGGGGTTGGAACTGGATGAGCTTTGAGGTCCCTTCCAAGCCAAACCAGTTTGGGATTCTATACCAGTAACACCAGCAAATGTAACTGTTGCTGGAGATCCCTACTGTGGGAATGGTTAATCAATTCTGCTGCCTGCAGCTTCGATGCTGGCAGGAGAGGGAGGTTCCTCTCCTGTAGAAAGGAAAGAGAAAAGACTTGGGAAGTCCAAAGGCACTTGTACAACCACAACTTAGCCAATACAGGGCAATTAGTGAGAGTTGTGCTCTCTTGCTCAGGTCTTCAACAGAAAAATGGTTTCTAATATCACCATCAGCAAGGACTCACAGGGAAATTAAACTCTTTTGCTCAAGGGCATAATCTGTGCTTTGTTAATGGCCACTTTCCATAGGACACGCAAAAGCATCACAGCTTGAGAGAGAGGGAAACTAAATATACTGCAATATCAGTGTGGAGAAGATTATGGGACAAGAAAAACAAAAATCAGAGGAGGACATACACCATGGCACACAAGTGAGTTTGGAGCTAATACAACCATTACCTTGTTGATCACTTTCTGTTGCTGCAAGTGGTTCTGCCGGAGAGAAACAACTTCCCGCCAAAGAACTTCATTTTGCCTGGAAGAGAAAAAAAGAAATTTTCCATGAGCACAGAAGCATCACAAGAGCCCATAGTGCTGCCATGATGCAGACCCAGCTGTGCAAAGTCTGTCCCACTCTGGGGCTCTTGCAGTGCTTGGCTCTTTTCAGGTGTCCCAAACAGGGTCACATAGTTGCTTTCCTTGTTTTAACTTGACCTCAAAAGAACAAATCACAGAGGTAAAACAAATAAAAGAGAAGCCAGCACTTATAGGGGAGAGTACAAGAGGGCACATGTGTAGGGCATTTGGGCGAAACTCAGAATTTCAGCAAGGCCTGACTTGTGACTTGGTATGATTTTTGAATACCAAGACTATTCTTCCTGCAGGAGCCAAGAAAGCCCAATCCTCCACAACTGCGCCAGTGCCCCCAAGGGCCAAGAGATCCTATGGATAGAGAGTGTACGTATTCTGCCTGCTGAAACCTCAAACACATAGTGGTTTGAGGTATGTTTGGGAGTGACGGGAGCAGCTAGAGAGATGCTTCTGCATCTTAGAGCCTTGAATGGGGAGGACTGTAAGGATTTTATTAGTGGGAGTCACTGATTTCATCCAGCACAGGCCTTTGTCTAGCTTGCAACTGCATAGAGCATATTTCATTTCTGTCGGCAGATGCAGCACACAGGGGAGTTTGCAGACTTCCTTGAACAATCATCCCAGAAAGTGAGATGGGAAGATGCTGAGTTTATTTACTGCGCTGCCTGCAAATTAGGATGCCAGCCAAGTCCATGAGCAGAAGATTTTGTCAATTTATCTTGACTATATGGATGTACAAAACTGTCAGGCCAGCAAAACCTATCACACAGGTGAAATTTATAAATCCTTTGGGATTGTTTAGCTTTTCTAGTGGGGATTGATGCTAGAACTGGGAAGATAAGGGCCAGGGCTCAAAATAGCACAGTAGCTGCCCTAGTACCACAGCCAGAATCTCTGCAGTGAATTTTCTGAAGTGGTCCTGACAGGATTTTCAGCAAAGCAGGTTCCTTAGTCTGACAGCTCGTACTGGAGTTATGTCCTTAATGGTTCTTCACCATGGTTTCAGCCTGGGATTTCTGATCTATCTTACTTTATAAAATTCTTATTATTTTCTTCAGTTGAATGCAATTTTTCCTTTTGCTAGATGGAGGAAGGTAGCAAGCAGATCCAAAGGGAGAACAAACTAAAATCAAGGCCAAATCATCGGTACTAGAATTCCTTAAAAATTAACTAAGATACAAGCCTAGAAACTCTTTCACTGCCACTGCACCTGGATTGTATAGTGTGGGTTTCATGCATGTACTAAGTGTGGGAATCATTAAAAACTGAGGTAGGATAGAAGTATTTCTCTATGGCACGTAGGGTGCTGGGCTGGAATGAAGCTTCCCAGTCTGAGCTCTGTCAAAGCCTGGGATGCCAGCGTCATCTGGTGATGTATGTATACCAGCTTTGAGTGTAAAAAAAAAGGTTTTGGGGTCTTTTTGATTATTGAAGTGCTTTTTAAACAGAGTTCTCTGTAAGTATTAAAATTCTGGAGGCAAGTAAAAACCTCTCAGAGTACGTGATTTATAAAACCACATCCATTGACTAGATGGATGTGCTTTAACAACTGATGTGGTTTAACCATTTAACCGTGCCAAGTGCAAGGTCCTACACCTGGGTCGGAGCAATCCCAGGCACAGCTACAGGTTGGGCAGAGAAGAGATTCAGAGCAGCCCTGTGGAGAAGGATTTGGGGGTGTTGGTTAATGAGAAACTTAACATGAGCCGGCTTCAGTGTGCTTGCAGCCCAGAAAGCCAACCGTATCCTGGGCTGCATCAAAAGGAGCGTGACCAGCAGGTCGAAGGAGGTGATCCTGCCCCTCTACTCTGCTCTCGTGAGACCTCACCTGGAGTATTGTGTGCAGTTCTGGTGTCCTCAACATAAAAAGGACATTGAACTGTTGGAACAAGTCCAGAGGAGGGCCCGGAGGATGATCAGGGGACTGGAGCACCTCCAGTATGAAGATAGGCTGAGAAAGTTGGGGCTGTTCAGCCTGGAGAAGAGAAGGCTGCGTGGAGACCTCATAGCAGCCTTCCAGTATCTGAAGGGGGGCTACAGGGGTGCTGTGGAGGGACTCTTCATTAGGGACTGTAGTGATAGGACAAGGGGTAATGGGTTAAAACTTAAACAGGGGAAGTTTAGATTGGATATAAGGAGGAAATTCTTTACTGTGAGGGTGGTGAGGCACTGGAATGGGTTGCCCAGGGAGGTTGTGAATGCTCCATCCCTGACAGTGTTCAAGGCCAGGTTGGAAAGAGCCTTGGGTGACATGGTTTAGTGTGAGGTGTCCCTGCCCATGGCAGGGGGGGTTGGAACTTCATGACCTTAAGGTCCTTTCCAGCCCTAACTATTCTATGATTCTGTGATATACACGTATTTCCTATATGGCTGCCTCTGAACTTTCCTCATCTGTAAAGGGAAAACACAGATGAAGAGAATATGTCTGCATTTCACAGAAGACAGAAAGGCTCAGCATTTCTTCAAATTTTGTAGATCACAGGATCTGCATAGAAATCCCACATGGCTCCTTCTTTCAAACATCCCCCAAGACCAACAACTCTAGAGAAGAAAATGCAGACTAAGCAGAATTCAACTTACTGCTTCATGTCCTGCACTTGACACTCCATGTTCTCCTGCTGACTTCTCAGTATCTGTACCTCGTATAGCAACCTGCTGAGGTCCTCCTGGCGCATCTTGGTCTCCTCACTTTTCACTACTGACACCTGAGGAGGGAAAATCAAACATGGATTTTACCGATACGAGAAGGGCCAAGGGCAGAGTCCTTGCTGTGGCAGGACTTCCACTAGCTGTGCTCTGATGTGCTGAAATGGTGGGAAAGGCAACGTGCACAAGAGTCTGAACTATCCCTAAGGTGCAAGAGCCAAAGAGATAAAACAGAGCAAAGAGCGGGACAAATCCTTTCATGCAGAGGGTGTGTTGGTAGCAGGACATTTCCCAGCAGAGGGGGAACTTATTTGAAATCAGCTTGGGAGAAAGAAAAAGAAACAAAGTATTTTGAGGAGCTGGGAGGAATTGAATTATCTTGTTCGATTAAATCTTTCTACTTTAACTTCGGGAAGACCGAATTCAGCTCTGTGTTTTACATGGATGAGGCTGACAAATTGATGTACTACATTTGGATTTCCAGAAGTCTTTTGCTGAAGCCCCTTTCCTAGAATTGCTGTGCTAATTCAGAGAGGACAGCCTTTTCTGGGCATCAGTAACAGCCTAAAAAACAGGAAACAGAGGACAGAAAAAGGTTATCTCTTTTATAATAACAGGAGATGACTGTCGGTAGACCCTGCAGGGGCTGTGCTGTACTTCTAACAATTCAAAAGCAGAGGTGGAATCAAGCCTGACTGTGCAGCACTACACAAAGGTCTTGTAATACTGACAACAGAGCAAATAACCACAGTCAAAACTCTAATGAAAGTCCAGGCCTGCACAGTAAGGACCCCTGCCCCAACTGTCCATGGAGATGGACAGAAACCAAACCACGGGGTGATTGTGGAGTTATGCTGAGAGGTCCATAGCACAGGGTCCTGTGGTCTGAAAGCAATAAAGCATCTGGGGAGTCAAAGAGAGGAATTCAGCTGTGGTATAAACCCTCACAATGACCACAGAGTGCTGTTCTGGTCAATCCACCCCCAAAAAGGAAATCTGGGAGGGTTAGAAAGGCCGAAGGCTCCTACTGGGGCATTTCCTATTCAAGATGCCTGAGGGATGGGAAACATCCATTACTTCTCTCCTAGCAGAAGGCCCAAGGGAAACAAAATAAAGAGACAACAGGCTTAAAGCAAACCAAGAGGGCTACATCTCCACACAGAGACTAAGCTGTGGGGCATATTGCTGAGGGATGTTTTGAAGATACACCAAGCAGTGTCTCCACATGGTTGGTGTGGAACCTTCTGGACCAGGGATCTGCCATGTCTCAGCCTTTCTTCCCACCCAAGAGGCTCACCAGGGGTCCCCCCAAGCTGTGTCCCCTCACCTTCCTCTTGATGTGCTCCAGGAGATGCTCGTGGCCCTGCAGGAAGCAGAGGTGCTGGAACTCGGTGTCATCCCGCTCAGGCTTGACAAGACCCCCCTGCTCGATGTTCACCACCTTCCTGAAGCCATCTGCAGGGAGAGGATGTAGGTGAAGGGCTGACAGACCAGGCTTTCCTTCTCACCTCCCACCCCATCACTTCTGAGGATGTTTCTGTTCTTTCCCCCCACTTTTTCAAGCTGTGCCCTCTCCCTGCATCTGGGCATGCTTTTGGGCCACATCTACAAGAAATCCAGCACAAAGGAGAGCACTGAGCCCCCCACTGGCCACCCCAGCTGCTGGCCCACACCATGGAGGACTTGCCAGCAATCCCTTGAGCACATTGGACTGACAGGACCTAAAATGCCCACTCTTATGAAATCTCTGGTTTGAGTTTGCCCAGAGAAGCTGTGTCTGCCCCATCCCTGGCACTGTTCAAGAACAAGTTGGACGGGCCTTGGAGCAACCTGGTCTAGTGGAAGGTGTCCCTCCCCATGGCAGGGGGTTGGAACTGGATGAGATTTAAGGTCCCTTCCCCAAACCAGCCTGGGATTTGCAAGCCAAAGGATTCAGGAGGAGGATTTTCAAAGGCACAGACCAGCTCCAGGTGACCCCAAAAAGGGTCTCAGGCACATTTAGAAATCTACTTTGAGTACTTCTCTGAAACCCTGGAAACATTTCTAAACCATATCTAATGGCTGGCCTAAAATGTACAGTAGTGCTACTGTATAGTTAAATATCAAAGTTACAACCTCACTGGAGAATTTTGTGAATTGGTCATTGAAAAAACTTACAAAAGCTATCAGAAAAGAACCATACTTAACACAGTCATGATCTAGATGTGTCTGAAAATTACACCTAAACCTGCTTTAAGGAGTGAAAATGATCAGCAAGGCAACGTTCACAGGGAGAAGTACTGTGTTATTAGTTCAGCGATACAGCTGGTGAAATTGGTAAGGTCTAGGCATGCTACCCCCAGAAGAAGCAGTTTCTGAGGGAGATGGCACAGTATCAGGCTGCTGAAAAAGCCCCATATAGAATAAAATGGAAAAGAAATAAAAATAGGTTCTCAAACTGAAGCAATCTGAGAAGCAGAAAACCTGGTACTTAAAATCTGTACATCTCACAATGTAATCTAACAGAAATTTCATGCTGGAATCAAAGGTCAGTGCAAGGAAGTCTGGGATCCAGAAGCAAGTCCTCTTCAGGAAAATCAATAATGCTCAACAATGTGTAAATAGGAGATCTCAACTTTTCTACTCACACTTCTCTTTCAGGCTCCCTTTCCACCCGCTCTTTCTGTCACCCCCATGTCTGTAGGACCCCCATGGCGAGGCTCTGGAGTTTGAACTCACACATGTTCAGCTGCCGGACGAAACTGGCCATGTTGTTGTGTTTGAAATACTTGGGCAGCACCTCTTTGGCAAAGCGTCCTTGGTCAAACACATGGAAGCTGGTGCCATTCTGCAAAGGAGACAAGGACAAAGCTGTGGTCAGAGGAGCATCCCTGACTATGAGAGGGCCCCAGGAGGTGGTGGTTCCCTTAAGTCCTACAGCAGGGCAAGTCATGCTCTCAAAATTGTCAACTTGAAGCTAAGAGCAGTGACAACATCCTTCAGTGATGCATGTGCTCCTTTCAGTTCTGGTACAATCAGTCCTCCATGACTGCAGTTTTGATCTTTTCCTACTAAGCTTTGCCACTGCTTAGTTGAGAACCTTGGATATGAGAAAAACTGCAGACATTTGCACTCAGATCCTGTTAGCCTGTGATAAGGCCCCCTTGTGTGGACCTCACAGAAAGGTTCTGATGTCTGAGCCCCTCGATCTGCTTGCATAGGTCTAACCCAACCCATGCGCTCCAAAGCACAGCTGTCCTGGAGGGATCGCAGCGTGGAAACATGGCACAAGAAACACAGCAAGGCAAGAAAACACATCATCTCTGGAGACACTGATCCTGAAGCTCTATGCACTATCTCCTGATTATCTTTGAAAGCACACAGACACAAGGACAACCTGCAATATGTTAACAGTTATGCTCTACAGTCCAAGCTAGCAATATCCATGTTAACCAGATAAAATACCCACTCCTGGGGTTGCACTGCTGAGATCCGTGACTGCAAAGCAATGCAAACTTGCCTGGGATTGTTGCAGAGACAGGCACACTGCAGGCCATGTGCTTTCCCTGCCTGGCTTTCTACATGCTGAGAGCTCAGCTTGTACAGGGAGGGCCTGTGAGATACAACAAGCTGAAGCTGCCTTGAAACATTCTGCAAACAGCAATCCATGCAAGCTTTATAAGGGACAGAAGAACTCTCAATTGATTTTAAACAATGCTTTCTAAATGCCCAATGTCAGCAGCCTCAGTGTCTCCAGTACAGGGGGATTGCGGAAACCAGCTTAAATCCCCTCTCTGCTCAGGATGGGGGAGCAGCATGTGGAATTTGGAGGAATGAAGAATCATGATTTCAGGCTTTGCAGCACACAGTGCATTTTTGTAAACTTGCAGAGAATGTTACTGAGGGGCAAACACTGGGTTTGATTGTGGAGAAGAAGCTGCAGGGAGCTGACAGGGGAGCCACCCAGCTGTGCAATCTAAGCGCTCAGCTTTATAGAGACAGGCAAGACACAGAGACCTATGCCAGTGCAAAGCCACCAGCAGATGTTAGGGACTTACCAACCCAGCTGCAGCCGAGTTTCAAGGGACAGCAAGCCAAAGACACCAGGGTCTGCAAGACTTTGGCAAGCCTGGGGTCTGAGACCAGCACAGCCACTGTCATCCTCCTGCTGTACTGAGCATTATCACCAGCAGTCAAGTGGTGTATCAACCAGGAGCGTTATTTCACAGCAGACAGGTACTTGAGAGAGGATCATGAGTGCCCAGTGCAGGACCCACCACACATCCATGGCAAACCCCACTGCCCTACTTGTGGCCACTACATCTTCATCACCAAACGGTGTGAATTTCCTCAATTCCCTCTGTTCCCTGGCTCACTTGTCAGCTCCAACAACCCTGCATGCCCACAGACATGAAGCTTTGGGTCAGCTGTTCTTCTTGCTCCTTGTTCACTGCTACAAACACTGTACAGGACTGTTTGCCTCGACAGCACCCTTTGACCATCACCAGGGTTTTTCCTATCATTCCTTTCCCCCTGCAGCAGAAGCAAAGGCTGATCCAGAACTTAAGAGATTCACTAATAACCTCTATGCTGGAAGCATCCTCACAGACCAAGCTTGCAGATATGACAGCACGGACCAGGGTTTCCCAGCACCGCAAAGGCTGCCTTGGGGACAGACCTGGTTTATCCTGCTTCTCCTGTGCTTCTGTCCACACACTCTCTGAGATACAGCTGTGCATCCCGGGCTGCACATGCTGATGTGAAATGAGAAGCACAAGGGTTTTGTGACCTGAACATCTCCTTATGGCCTCTCTTGAGAGGTCATTCCTTTGCATTTAAGGCTGCAGTGTACTTAGAAGCCAGTGCACCTGAAAGGGATCCTGCAGACACTAGAAACTTCAGTGTTACTGTGCGTTCACCAATGAACCCTGCATGTACCAGCTCGTTCCCATACAGCAGCTTGACTTACATTGCAGGGGCACCAGCTGGGAGAAACTCTGAAAGTCTTCTCTGCCCAAAGCAAAATTGGCTCTGTCAGTCTTGGCAGATGCTTATCTTCACTGTTTTTGACAGACACACCATGACAGACACCCTGTGCCCTGCCCAGGCAAGCTACATCAGGAATTTGCCAGTTCTTCCTAACTGCATCTTCCATTTAAAAAAAAAACTACTTGTTTAATTACTGCTTGTCCAATCTACCATGGACACAGACAGCAGACTTTTGCTTTCCATCTTTTAACTGCCTTCAGTGTATATATAAACCATTATCACGTTTCCTCTCCATCTCTTCTCCTTCATAGGTCCTATTTTCTAAGAGTTCTGATTGTGTACAGAAATCTTAGGCATGCACACAGTTTCTCAGCTCCAACAGCACTGATGGATATAAGGGGAAAAACATGGGAAACGTGGGAACATGCAACCTGGGAAACTTAGACATCTGAAAGCCTTACCAAAACCTCCCAAGAATGTAGCTTTTGTTAGAATTTGTAGTTGCAGAATTTGTTATGTTGTTAAAATTTTGTTGTAGCCTATGATATGTGGTAGGAAAGCAAAGCACGGTGGTGGTGGTGAGTCAGAAATAGTGATATTGTAACAGATAGGGGACTATTCATGCATGTTAGAACATCCTTCCAAGTTTGAAAGTCGTCATTTAAAACACACAATACCAAAACTTGGTGGTTCTCAAAGGTACGGCCATGTAATACCAACATCAGAAAGCAACCATTACCTTGGATAATAATGCAGCTGAAATACTTCTTCATGTCTTCAACTAAACCTCTACTGGACACAAATATATGACAGAAAGGCTCAGAAAGGCTGCTTTAGACTTCCCTCCCTCACACCCTTAAATCTGCTCTTGTTATAGGTTCCCAATTTTGGAGAACACATTAATGCATATGACTTATAACTCCCTGCTGAAGAAAAATCACATTATTTTCAACAAGTCTTACATCAAAAGCACAATTTGGTATCAAAATGCTGTATGAGGGGGATAAATAAATAATTCCAATTATCTGATTGCATTTACTATATTAATGCCTTAGTGACAAATAAGCCAAAGCAAAGCAATCTATGCTTATGAAGCTGTACAGACACACATCACCATGATCATCACACAGACTCATTGAAAAATCAAGTAAAGCTCTTCCAAAATGCGAGTGATTTAGGGTGTCAGTCTGAGATCTGTTTAACCTGTAAGTTTTAGCCCAATGTCTGAATGCTGTTTATCTGCTGCCTGCTCTCAAGGCATTTGTGAATGTCACGTGTTTCTTAGTTGTAATAAGAACAGCAGTGGAAATTTTTAAGGACTTTGCACCTTTTCTGGAAGATCTTAGGAAAGTGCAGACTCAATTGAAATGAAAACCTCCCTCAAATAGTCTGGCTTTTTGCAAGATTCAGTATCAGACACCCTTTAAGATGCTTCAAGTGAAGTGTGTATATATTGTTACTAAAATACTCCCAAACCAGTTGTCCCTTTCAAACAGAAAAGCCGCAATATTGCAGATAAATAATATCAAGTATATCCAAAAGGCTTCCTGATGAAATGTCAGTCCTTTCACTCCCCCAGTTAGCCATCAGCACTGTAAAGCAAAGGGAAGTTGCTGTGCAATGCAGTGCTCAGGCCTCAAACTTGGGTTTTTCTGGTGTTGCAGGCACTCGGTGACACCCCATAGTTGCTGTACTTACAGTACTCCAGCAGATGAGATGGTTCGTTTCAGGATCTTCCACCAGCGTCCAGAGTTTGGTTAGGAAGGCTGGCACATTGCTAGAGTATCCATCCATCACCAGAGAGCTGGGTGAATCCTGCATAGTTTTCCAGTGTCCCAGCTACTCCAGCCCCATTGCTCTCTGGTTCAGAGAACCAACCACCCAATTTTATCCTGGGCCAGTGGAAAGTAGGCTCCCAGGGAGTCACATCAGCAGTGCTGCTCGCACTCTTCAAAACTCAGCACAATGCAATGGCATCACCAGCCCTGGAGAACAATACACAGAATGAAAGTGCACTGCAGCCAATCTCTCAGCACTGTGAATAAACACGCAGCGTCATGCACAGGGAACACGTGCTGAGCACCTTCTGCTGGGAGCCTGGCAACTCACCGGGGTGACTCCACTGCCGAGAGCCTCTGGGACACGCAGGCACAGCAATGCCTGGTTGGTGAAGACACAGGAATTGCTGTTTTGGAAATTCCTTGTCCTAAACTTTGGCTGGCACAGAGGAACAAGGGCTGCCCAGACCTCAGGACTGCACATCCCCAGCAAGGTTTTGAAAAGTCAGAATTGTAAGCTGGTTTGGCTACAGATCCCATGTTACTTGTCAAGAGAAATTATTTGGCTCTTGGGTGAGAAGAAAGGGTGATAAAAATAGCTACACATAGAATCTAGATGAAAACAATATTTTTATTTTTATTATTTCTTCTTATTGTTGTTGTTATTATAAATGCTTTAGATAGCTCTAAATAGGTGCTCCCAGTGTAGCTTTATCCCAGGGTCATTTCAACTCAGAAACTAGCATTCAAATAGCATTCACCAAAATTTTTGTTACAATAGACCAACACACACACATCTCCTAATTCAGAGGCAAGATAACTTGCATGCGAATGCAGATATCAGATGCAAAAACTGTTAGTTCTCTTGATTCTCCTGAGAAATACTAACAATGTAATAAAAGCAAAGGTCTTTGCATTCAAATTTACAACCTGGAAATCTGCATTTCTGAGCAAGAGAAAGACAAGATAGACAAGGGAATTTGCAGACTACATGTCTTTTATTACTACCTGGTGAACTGTTTTCCTTCAGTGCTTTTTCTTCTGCTTGAATTTTCTAACATAATTCAGCTCCTGTTCTATCCCTCCAAGCTGGAAGTTACCTGATAATGGGTGAGCTCCCCACCACTGAAATGCTAAAAGAGGAACTATCAAGGTTAGAATGGATTTTCCATCGGATGACTACAGTTCATTGCTATAGCTCACTGAATCTGCACAGCTAAGTACCCCACTGGGCAGGAAACAGCTGCATTGATGCTGCCACTTCCTCAACTATCTATTTAAGTGGTTGCTGGGTGCCTGACACAAAGTGCTTGACTTCGAGGTTCTTTTAAAATGTAGAATCAAAATGAAGTTTCACTGAGCTCCTCAGTAAAAACCTGCAAAGGGTAAATCTGGCTTTCCTGCTACATAAAGAAACAGAGAACTAAAAAGACTGGTCACTGAATTATTACTGGTTTCCAGGGGTGCCGTTCCTTGGTGACCTTCAGAGTGTACTGTTTCAGACTGGGGCAGTGCATGAGGAATGCTTCTACCACCTCCTGGCTGACCACGCAGTAGCAGTGGATTTCCAACAGATTTCTGCACCGTCTAGCCAGATCCACTAGAGATGAATTTAAGTCCTCCGAGGAGGTGGTTTGCAGTGTCAGCTTCTTTAAAGTACTGCTGTAGTTCTGGGTGACAAACCTAATCTGATTTACCATGTAATTATAGGTGTTAAGTTGCAGTGTGCTCACAGGTATATTCAGCTTTAGGATGCATGGTATTTTGCAGGCAGGGACCGTATGATCAAACTCTAGGTCCACATAGAGTCGAGGATGCTTTTGGCTTACAGCAGCCCAGAGGTCTTCTGAGATCACTGGTATATATTTATCCAGACGCTCGCAGAAAATGTCTAAATAGGTGAAAGTTGCTCTTTCAGGCTTGAGCAGCTCCTCAAATACATCGTCAGACAAACTGGCATAGTAAACCCCCAAGGCTGAGAGTTTGGGGCATGCTCTGAGAACTTTCCTAATGGTATCTGGAGCCACATTGCACACCAGGGTGCGGTTGTTGATGAACAAACTGTGAAGGTTTGGGTTAGTGGTAGCTAAGAGCTCAACAAGCTTATCATTGAGAGTGAAAGGCATTTGCCGAAAATCAATGTGCTGAAGATCTGTCTGGTTTTTAGTGTCACAAATATTTTGTATGCTCTGTAGAATGTCCTGGCCAGAGTAGAAATAGGGGTTCTCCCCATGGCACACAATGCACAGCTGCTGCAGCTTGTGGTTCTGCTTTGCCAACACATCCAAGATGCGTGTCACATTCTTCCGGTTGACCTCCTTGGATTGGTCAAACATGATCTTCAAGTGCTTAATTTGGCTGAGGAACTGGAGCAGGCTCTGCAGCATGGCTTCCTCATCCTCTGAATCACAGCTGGAAGGAAAAACAAACTCTCAGTCACTGTGAATGCTGAGCTTGGTGATCACAGAGCAGACACTCTCCTTTACCAGTGCTTCTGCAAATATCAACAAGATCCCCCAGGCATTTCTTTGAACTTGTTGCCTGGAGAGTCATTGTGAGACCAAATACTGAAGGAGTCAGGAGATGAGGAGAGTCAGTTCCCAGAAAGACCCATCAGAAGTATCAGGAGAAGGATAACAATTCAGTAACTTTGTCCCTTGTCATTTACAAATAGCAACTTGGAACAATGTGTCTAAGAATGTAATATTTCCCACAGAACTCTAACCATTAGCAGCAACTGAAAAACCACAGCATATAACACAATTTTCTCTATTATATATAAACAGGTGCTATACATTTAAGGTAGTATCATCACACATAGAAATCACAATGTCAATAATGTCATAGCAAAGTGACAGAAATGTTTGACATGCACTGGAAACAATGATCTAGTTACACCTGCAAAGATACTTGGACATTAGAACCCCATTCCTCTTACCTGATCTCTGTGAAGTACCAGACAGAGCTAGAAGACACAGCTGCAGCCCATTGTCTGCACACCTGGAAGACTGTGTATCTATCTCGAAGAGAAAGATACTGGAAAATCTGGATAAGGATTTCTTCTGGAATGCAGTTCCACAGTTCTGGAGCTGGAACAGGCATTTTCCTGATTCAGTCAGGAATAAAAGTGGGAGAAACTTCCAAAACTGCAATTAATTCTCAAAAGTCTCTGTTCAGAAAAACGAAACAAGAAAAGGCAAACACACATTAGGATTTATGTAACTCATCAAACCATTGCAGCTGGATCACAAAAGAGGTCAAATTTTTTTCCATTTTGAAATTCCACTGAATTTTTAAATTGAACACAAAAAAAATGAGGAAATCTATTGGCTAGTTGTTTTGCAGAGTTTTTTCAACCAGTCCTAAGAAGCTGGGTGATACTTTACAGGAGAAAACAGCCTCACATATCCATTTTTTACTGACAGTGATGCAGAAGGCCTGTTGTAGAGACCAGCAGCTGAATTACAATGGTTCTTGTCTGTGATGAGATCTGAAAGTCTGAAAAAAATGTTGTATTACTGTGAACCCAGTTCTCAGAAATCAACCTTTCATGTGAAATATAATGCAGAAGAATAAATGCCTGGGAAGAAGGCTGAGGTTTGCAGCATCAGACTACCTAACTTCTTCATTTGCCTTCTTCCAAAGTGGGTTGTACCCATCTTCTGGATTCCCACACAAATAAAACCATCAACACGACATATTTTTTCAACCCTCTCATAAACAAGTGAGGGGTTTTTGAATGCAAACACTCCCCTTCCTAGGCTAGCACTGGAGTGTGGATCTCAATCTGAGTTTCATGGCATGCCCTCCTGCTTTTGAAGCCCCAGGCCCTGGCATCACAGCATTATCTCAGCATCACTGGCTTCAGTTGAATGAAAACCTGCACTTCCTCGAAGCAGGAAAAGAGATGAAACCATGAAGGAAATAGGGAGTAATGATGCAGAAAGCATAATGCAGAAAGGAACACAACTGCACGTTTTTCTAGAATAGCTCTGAAGTGTGACTCATTGAATGTGAGGTGGCAGGAGCATAGCAGCTCTGCTATCTTATCTACCATCGTACCAATGACAACCCCCTTTCCACCCAGTGAGAGCGATAACAGCCAAGGGCTGCAGTCCTGCTCCCTTCCCAGGAACCTGTTTAGCATTTTCTCTGACAATCACCTCAGACTTTCCTACTTTTAGCTGCTTTTAACACTGCCTGTAATACATGTCTGTCAACGTCATAGACTCAGGCAGGTTGAAAAAGCCCTTTAAGATCACCAAGGCCAACCATTACCCCAGGACTGCCAAATCCACAGCCAAACCATGTTATTAAACTGCTCTTTGCCCTACATGAAATCTCGCACGCTCAGCTCCTTTAACTTTCACTATGATATTTTTCCTTAAAGCCTGAGCCCTTGGAGCCACGCAAAAAGGACCTTGCCTCACCTAGAAAGTAAGAGTGATGTAGTGATTGCTTGATTGCTTGGAAAAGCTTAAAAACATGGCCTGAGAGCAGGAAGGCAGACAGAAAGACAAAATTATTAGTGCTACTTTAATGAAGCAAATGACTCAGTCACTGAGAAGCACAGTTCATGGCCGGCGAGTGCAGTGGCTTGGTTTAGTTCCAACTTGGGTGCCTGCCCCGATGGCAGGGCTCGGACCACCTCAGATCTCACAGGGCAGGGGACTGCTGCTGGCTGCGGCTCTGAGCTTCGTCAGTTCTCAGCACAAGGAAGCAGGCTGGGAGCGAGTGCCCGCGGCCCAAACAGGAACAGGGGGTGCTGTGCTCAGGCGAGATGCCCAGTGCTGTGAGCGAAGCCCCCGTCACAGCATCCCTGCCAGTACCCGCGGCAAGGGCACAGCTCTCCTACCTCTTGTTCCTCTTGGAGCAGAGCCCCTCTTCCTCTGCGCCGGCTGCCCGCGGCTCCCAGCTCCGGCTGCGCCCCAGAGGGAGGAGCGGAGGAGGAGATGCTAAAAATAACAGCAGGGAGAGAGGCCCCTTCCCTGCCCCATTGCCGTGCTCTCCTCGATGGGAGCGCTCCGTCCTCCTCCTGCTCCAGCACTCGTATCCACCAGTTACTTAACACCCCACTTCCCTGAAGGGCCCCAGCACTGACCCTTCCACACTGCAGCTGCCGGCTTAAGGGGAGCCTGTCCTGCCCCAGGCAAGGCTTCCCCATGAAGACAAACCACTGCATCCTGACACCCAAGTCCCGCTGAGCCCATCCTCCCCCCCCAGCCTGGAATTTTTCCTTCCAAAATGGGAAGCAAGAGGGTGAAACACCAAGTGCTTATCAAACACTTGGACTTCACCCAGTGGGTTGCTGAAAGCCTTCACTCACCAGAGTTAGAGGAACTCGGGTCTCAGCCACCTTTTCAGGTTTTTAACCCCTCATATATACAGAACAGATTACCTTCAAAGAGAAAACGCTTGTGGGACCTGCGTGGGTGATGGTCCCTGTAGCACCTCACCCTGTGCTTCCCACCTAGTTCTAGGAGTTGCTTCAGGCTTGCTTTTTGTAGGGGAAGGTTGCGATGTCTGGGCTCATTTAACCCCATTAACCCTTAAATGCATGAAACTTTCACCAAGTAAATGCCTGGTTCTCAGAAGCACTGGCAGTGCTGGTGCTGAAGGTGGGTGCTGCCTGCCCTTCTCCCTGCAAACCACAGCACCTCAGAGACCAGCCTGGATTAAGTCCTTTCAGTGACGTTTTTGCTTTGACAATCAAAAGAGCTTATATTGTTAAAATACTGTTGTTGTAAAATAGCATTAAATCTGTATGTCTTACATATACATATGTATATATAAGAAATGTTTTAGAATGCTTTCCACTTCTGTTTGAGCGTCAGGTCTCTGGAGAGCCTGCACAAACTGCCAAGCCAGAGTGACAGCAGCAAGCATGCAGGTACAAACCCTGGCCTCAGGCGCTCACCAGCTGGGGACAAACAAGAGAGCTGCTGCTGTTACCCCTCTGCTTGCGGGAGGACCTCCACGCAAGACAAAGACATCCTGGGCAGGAAACTGCTAACAGACGTTCACCAACGGAGACCCAAATCCAGCTCCTTGCTGCTGCAGTTACAGATTAACCGAGGACACCTTTTAAAGGGGAGCTCCAGGGAAGGGATGGTCTAAGAGCTGAACTTCCTCCAGTGCTCAGTAATTATTAACCCAACCAATCTTCATTTCACCGTTCACTCTTATTAGCGGCGCCACGGGGGAAAGCAGGTGAGAACCAGCTGGGACCCAGCAGCCTTGCAGTGCCCTCAGCCACGAACTACAGAGGTTATCCCAGCACCTCACTTTCCTCCATGACTAAGGACCGGGGGCACGCAGCCAGCCCCACTCGGGCTCAGCTATCTGACCAGAGCCCTTTCTAGCCATCTTCTAGATCCTCACCTCGAGGGTGACCAAGCGATGGAGACTGGGTTGGTGCTCGCCAGCCACCGGAGCCGCCGCCTTGTGCGTGGACACCCGGAGGTGTCAAGGCACGGCAGGACCGGCTCAGGCCTCTCCAGCACACAGCGCCCCTGCCGCCTGGCCGGCCCCGCACGGCTGCCGCGGGAGGTGCGGGGGGAGCGGAGGCACACTCGTGCAGCAGCAGGTTTGCTCGGGTCCCCCCGAGCTCGGGTCCCCCCGGCCCTGCTTCCCCGTTACCCGCCGCGGAGCAGCGGGCGGCGCCTCGCAGAGGCGGAAGTGGCGGAGCCGAGGCCGGGCAGCGGCGGTGGCTGGAGGTAAAAGCGCCCGGAGCCGGCGGGCGGGCCCGGAGCTACCGCGGGAGAGAGGCCGGGCCGGGGCCGGAGCCGGAGCCGGAGCCGGAGCCGGAGCCGGGGCCGGGGCCGGGGCCGGGGCCGGGGCCGGGGCCGGGGCCGGAGATGCAGACGCGGGACCGGGTGGCTCGGGCGGGCGCGTCCCGCCGGATCGGGTCAGAGCAGAGCAGGGCAGGGCAGGGCCGGGCCGGGCCGGGCCGGGTTTCCCCGGTGCTGCCCCGCTGGCACACAGCGAGGCCGGGGCGTTCGTTGGGCGGGTGAGCGGGGCCTCGCAGCAGCAGCGGCCCGGGAAGGGACAGGCGGGCACCGGGAGAACGGACTGTCACCGCAGGCCGGTGGCTGCTCCAGCGCCTAGGTCTTCTGCCTTCCCCTCTTAGTCTGTGACAGGAATTGAGAAGCGGCCTGACAGCAGAGGACGGCAGGCAGCGGTGAGCGCGCACTGTATTGCCTGGGGCTGGCTTTTCCAGACCCCTCCCAAACAGTTTGACCGCTGCTGCTGCTCAGACCCACAGCGAGGGTCCCAGCCGCCGGCTGGGAATGGGCTGGAGAGCTCACTTGCTGGGATAGCACTGCCAAGGCACAACAGCAAAGGGCTCCTTACCTGAGTTTTTGGTGTCATTTCCAGGCTCTCCAGCATTGCCGAGTGGAACCAGGCAGCTGCTGAGGAGCAAGAGCCTGGTCTGTGTGGGGAAGGAGCACAGGGGCAGCAGGGTCCATGCTGCAGTGGTGAAACAGGGTCCTCTCACTGTATGTGCTTCTGCGCTGGTTGGGAGCTCTGAGTCATCTGCACTGGGAAAGTAAATCGATCTGTGGGACAAATATTTTAAACATTCCATGTCTGTAAGATGTCACTCAGATTTTTTACCTTCATTCTATGAGACACTAGGAGATGAGCCTAGATCCCAAACTTCCCAGTGTTAGAAGCTCAGATCAAACCTGAACTGCAGCAGCAGTGCATCCTCCTCTTTCTTCTTTACGAGATGCTTTTCTAAAAAGCCTGTGTGATGTGTAGCCCGCAGCCTAGAAACACTCCCTCCTGCATCTTGCAGGTGCTCCTTCATCTCCAAGTTCAGTGTGAATTTTAGAATTCACTGGCTATTTCCTGTATTTTCTGAACAAGTAAAAGGCTCCTGTTCTGGGCAGAGGTTCAAGGTTCTAGGAAGGAAACAGGGTGGGCCGTATGTTCCAGTACTCTGTTGGACATGCTGCAAAGGATGGCAATGGTTCCCAGCCTCAGCCACCATCTGGAGGACAGCCAGTCCATGGGAGCTCATCCTTCTCAGCCTGGCAGTCCCTGGTGACAAAAACCTTCACACCCCTAAGCTAAAGGGCATCTGAAGAGAGGGACATTGTCATGTCCAGCAGTTACACTGTCAGCATTTGGCAGCCAAGAGAAGGCTGTTGGGTTTGCACAACTGGGAAGAAAGCCAGAAGGAAGGGTGCCTGTGGGAAAGTATCTGATGGTGTGCCGGAGGCACACACAAGCAGTCAGAGAGGGGACAGGACCTATGCTTGGAGCTGAGCCAAAAGGTGTTTTGGTTCATCTTTGCCTGCAAATAGGGCTTCAGTCTGTGTGAACGTGCCAAACCAGGACCGCTGGGTGCCCCCTGAAGGACCCCAACTGTGCGCCTTTAAACTTTGCCAGCTTGACTGGGCAGGTAGAGGCATGAGGACTGAAACCTTTTGGTCCAGACTATCTGTGGACTATAAAATGTAAAATTAAAACAGAGCTTTGTGAACTGCTGAGTCTTTGAGATACCATGACCCACTGTGCTGTGCTTTACAGAATAAGAGTAAATTCCTCAAAGGTGACACTTGCTTTAAGATCACCTCCTCCTCTAGGAAATAAAGGTAAATCCCCATAATCTGTGCTGTAAGCACTTGGCCAGCATCAGGCCATTTTCCCTGTGGTCTCTCAGCTCACCTGAGTGTTTTGTAGGGTGCTGAAGATGGCAAACAGCTCTGCTCCTTGGATTGGCTGTGCTTATCTCTTCCTCCAGTCAACGTGTAAGACCATCATTCTGCCATCTCTCTATGAGAGCTCCCAGAAGAAACCTAGTGTGTTCAAGGCACTGAAGCTGGCATTAGCAGGTACCCATCCTTTCTGATACCTTGTCACACCATCTCATCTCTTCACGCAATAACAGCCTTTCTTTAATCTCATACTCCTGGGTAAGGAAAGATGGTGCTGACTGTATTTAGGAAAGACAGTGAAGTGGAGCAAGTTCAGCAGAGGTCCCCCAAGATGGTTGGGGCCTGGAGCACTTGTCCTATGAGGAAAGGCTGAGGGAGGTGGACCATTTCGTCCTGGGGAACAGATGGCTTTGGAAGACCTACCTATTGGTCTCTGCCAGTACCTACAGGGAGGGGAGATGGAGCCACTCTCTTCATAGTGGTGCATAGGGAATGGGAGTCAACAGGCAAAAATTGAAACAAGAGAGGTAGGCACCAGACAGAAAGACAAATATTTTCTCCATGAGGACAGTCAAGCAGTTGCCTGGAGTGACTGTGTATTTCCTGTCCTTGGGGGGTTTCAAAATGGGACTGGATAAAGCCCTCAGCAACTTGGTCTGACCTCAGAGCTGACCCTGCTTTTCATGGGAGTTTGGGCTAGAGACTTCCTGGGTTTCCTTCCAAGTTGAACTATCCTATGAATTATCCTCCATTTATGAATGTTTGTTTAAACCCGTTAACATAAGAGGGAAAAAGGTTAGGAAAGAAGATGTATTTCCTGTCTTTATACCACCACAGAGATTGCTGCTTTGAGAAGCTGATTTTTAAACTTAGTGTTAGCCAGTTCAGCTGAGCTCCTTTTTGATATAAACAGGCACAAACACATTAGCTTCAAGTGTATATAACCCTATTTACATAAAAAAAGGACTTGAGATGCAAATGGCCATAAAACTATATTTCTCTATCCGCCTTTGCACCAAGCGTACCACAGAGTAATAGTAATTTGAAGAGTTTATAATACTTGCCTAGAAAAACTCTCCTGGTATTCTTTACCTGTCACACAGCTGAGCCCATATTGTTTAATGGGGCTTGTGTAACTGTTCCGTAATTTCTTCTGGCAATCATGACCCTGTCCAAATCACTAGTTTATCCAGTACAAGGCTCCTCATCTTGCAGCTCAATCCAAAGATGGGAACCAGCAGGCAACTGAACACAGTTGTCCTGTTAGGCTCAATTTATGGCTGCTTTGTGTCATTGGAATGTGAATCTGCTCACATGTTAAAGGAAAGCCTATGAAACCACTAAATCCTAAGTTGCTTATTCAGACCTAAAAAGGACATGAAATCTGAAGCTGAAGTTTCTTGAATAAAAGCATGCAAAATCCTTTCTTTTGAGGTAGCTTCACAGCTCTCTCGTACAACATTCACAGAGGTTTCCATGTCTGTGCAACTTTTCCCTTCCCAGCCCTCTTACCCTGTTATGGAAACTTTTGTTCGACCAGCACTCATAAAAAACAAAGCATGAAGAAAGGGATAAAAAGACATTTCTAGTCAGCCACAGTGAATTAAAATGCCTCTCCTAGGTGCCTAGCCTCATGTCCCAGTTACACAGTTGGTCCAAACTAGACTTTCTGATGCAACCAAGACTCAGTTAACCCTGTAAAGCCACTGTTAGATCACATGCTTTTAAATGCCAGGTCACTTATTCTGCCTAACGTGGAACACACAAGTCTGCTTTGCCTTACGATTGTCCTCCAGGCCTGTCTAAAGAATGCCATGACAAATGGTTTAGAAATACCTGATGTAGAGCAAGTCTTTGCTGGTACCTCCATACGGCCCTGACAACAACAGGCCAAGAGATTAATTCAGATCTGGAAGCAGTACAGGAAGCCTCACACAGGCCTCTACTGCATAAAAGAGAGAAACACATACTGTAAACTGTCATCATCAGCATATAAAATCCCTGAGGAGACAAGGTCAATGTGCACAGCTAATCAAAATTAAATTTTGCTGGGAGAAGGGAGACTGAAGGCTGGACAATTTCTGTTGTCCATGGTGCTTGTGCTCCCCCCGGGACTAACTAATGTCAGAGGGTACAGCCCTGACTGCTTGCTTAGATTTTACCATGAATTAATTCTTTGTGCAAAACAGTTTAACAAGTCAAGGCCCAGTCTCAAGCAGCCTAATTCTTATGGCTGAATCCATCATTCCCCATTTGTGAGAGGTGTTGAAGGCTCAGTGCCAGCCAGCCAAAAGTTACCTCCAGGCATGGGGTGGAGAGGAAATGCTGGGTCTCTTTCCAGGACCTTCATCACTGCTTAAAACTCCAGTCACAAGGACTGAAGACTGACTGAGCACTCAGCTGGAATATGCATTTTCATGTATAAAACTTCCCTGTGTTAGCAGTTTAGCATAACCATTTCTGTCCTGAAAATGGAACCTCAAACTTAAAACCTCCCCTAATAAACAGTGTTGAGATAATTACCTGATGTGTAGCACCATAGGTCTTCAGCTGGACACCATACTTCACTGAGATGAATGGAGGCAGGGCAGCAAAAACCTAATCCTTTCCTCTTGATTTTACACACAGGTTTTTAATTCCAGAGGACATCAGGACAGAGATGATAATTCAAAAGCTGCTCCATTGCAGGCTTGGAGGTGGATGGGAGTGGGTCTGGGTTGTCTGTCTCATGTGTGATAGTGACTCTGCTCACTTCTCCCCATCAGACTCCACCGGCAGCATAAATGGTGTGGACATGCTCAAAGTGCACTGCAGCCACCCGCACCTGATAGTCCAGCTCAAGTTCTGCAAGCAGGAGAACTGCCGCCAGTTCCTGCAGAGCTACCGGGAAGGAGCGCTCCAGGAGTCCCTCCAGAAACACCTCCAGCTCTCCTTAGCCGTAAGTGCAGTGCCTCTTGAAATGGAGCTGAAGGCTGGCAGTGAGCACCTCGACAGCATGCTGAAAGATGAGGATCGCTGCCTGGAATGTATCTACAGAGAAAAGGTGAGTGGGAGAGGGAGGGAGTACAGGCAGCAATGAGGAGCAGTAGCACAAGACTCAGGAAGATGGGTGCAAATCTTGCTCTGAAGCAGCGTGCTGGTTTGATGACTTCTTCATCCTTCAGTTCTCAGCTATAATATGGAGTAAGCTCTGACCTTCACCAGAAAAGAGCCTAAAACTGCTTACAGGGATTCTTCTAAATCACTGTGGTTTCTGTGTATAACAGTTAATGTGGCTCAGATGTGTGTTATCACTGCTAAAATGAGGAATTACAGAAGGTGCAGTTGACAGCAAAAGCAAGTGTGCTCAATACACCTGCAAGGCAGGCAGAGTGTGGAATGACCAGTGCTCAGCATCTACCTCACTACCTCGCACACCTCAGAGCAGCAATGGCAACTGCACCTAGAAATGAGCCTGAGTGCAAAGAGTCTGCACATTATACCAACTTGTAACAGAGCGGGGGACACAGCATCTGTTGTGAGCAGGAATTGGCTGCCCTTCTGAAGGCAAAGTCCCTCGGGAGCAGTATCTGAAGTCTAGCTCATCGCATGCTTTGACACTGACATTCTAATCCTGCTAGCAAGAGCAGTGAGATCTTGACATCTTTCCTCAAAACCAAGGCAGTTGGATGTGATTAAACTCATTGCCTTTTTCCTCTCCTCTTTTTTTCCACCTGGAACTAGCAACACCTTATAGCTCTGGTTCCTTCCAGATGGTTCTGGGAAATAGGTAGGCACCATCTGCTTGGAAATATTAGGCACAGGAGCATGTTGTGCCAGGTTGCTTTTCTGCAAGCACAGAGAATGAAATGCAAACATTTCAGCCCTGACTAAACAACATGTGATATCCCATAGCCTGTCAACTTCTGCTTTCTGCTCCCTCCTCTGATGAACTAGCTGACTGGACAAAGGAGATGGGCTTATTCTCAGTTCCCCAAACTGAGAAGTCAGTCTGGCTTGTGCCTAGCAGTGCAACAGTCAGACAGATGACACCAGGGCAAAGGCATCTGTGTCTGAGTGCAGTGCTGGGTACCTACTGTATGTGAGCTAAACAATAGACTGAGTCAGAGCAATCACCAGGTTTGACTCTTCCCATGTGCTTTTGATGTCTCTTTTTCTCATTATCTGCTTTTTGGAGGTCAGACTAGTTTTCTCTTGGTTAGTGAGAAAAACTGTCTTGGATTGGATCCAGGAACGACAAAACTTAAGAAATAGAGGCACAGAATGAGAGTAGGGGCAGCAGGAGCTCCCTGCTTTGGTGGCCATGAGCTGTTGGATCAGGTCACCCTATTCTGTGGGTCTGATCCTCATGTGGAGTGAGGCAGAAAAGCCATGCTGCCTCTGGTGCACCCTTATTCTTGCAGAGAGCTGCTGAAAATAAACATGGACTTGTACCAGCTTTATGCAACTTGTAAGTGCTCACTGCTGCATGTGAGAAACCCAGGAGGGCAAAATTGCCTATGTCGTATCACATTACAGATTAAAATCCACACATTTATAGCCAGAACTCCGTTAAAGTATTTTATTGGGTCAGTTTATAATCTGCACTCTAGCTGTCTCATTGCTCCTCTCTTGGCACCAACATCTTAAGCTGCACCTTCCAGCTAAGCATCTATGGCTTCACAAGACAGTGGACTTGGCACGCATCACTGATGCTGTTTGCATTGCAGCCAGACCGTCTGCGGGATGAGGAAATCACAAAGCTTGAAGAATGCCTCGAGAGCCTGATTGTTCACCAGAGCATCAACAACAGCATGGCTGTAAAAGACTGCACATCTCTCAACTCCCCATCTCTACCTGGCCCTTCTCAAGGCAACTCCCTTTCCCCACAGGTTACCTTCACCTTTCAGGGACAAGAGTTCGGTGAGTAGCTAGAGCTGTCCAAGAGCACCCTTGGTCTTCCTCATCTCAAAGCCCAAGAGGGAGTATTAATGTAACTGCATACTGGGGTCTCAGATAAATCAGGGGGTTCCCAGCATCCCATAAGGGAGGAATTACAGTAGTCCTAAGATACTGCAGTACTGCTTCTGATCAGCCTTCCACCTGTTTTCCCATTAAGGGAAAGGCCTAATCAAGGCAGGGAGCTTAGATGTGCCAGGGCAGATGGCCACGAGCAGGTGTGTCACCACATGCTCCAGTTTGCCACTGGAGGCACCAGCAGTGCCCTGGGCTGGCAGACTACATGGGGAGCAGAGCTGCACAGCTTACACAGAGAGCGCACGGAGACGCTAGGTGGTGAGGCTTACTCCAGCTGATTTTCCCTTCCCAGTGGTGGAGGAATGCTGTTGGAGCACAGACACGTGTACATGAACCCTGCCCATGGCAGCCCCTTTAGCTTCGCTGCTTTGGCACTTCTGCTCCAAGGTCACAGTGCTGCCCTGGTGTTAAACCACCAAGGACAAGCAGAGCAGCTCCACAGTGGTTTAGTGATGTGCTGTGGACACTGAACAGACTCCCTGCTGCACAGAATGTTGAGCAAACCTTCGACTGGGCCAAGCTGCATCACACCAGCTGTGGAACCTCTGTGTTTTACCTGCCCTCTGTCCCTTTCAGACAACAGAATGCTCACACCAGATGACCACCAGAAGTTTGCCAAGCTTGTGTCAAAGAAATGGAAGCAAGTGGGTCGCTCTCTGCAGAAGAACTGCCGGGCCCTGCGTGATCCTGTCATTGATAACCTGGCTCTCGAGTATGACCGAGAGGGACTGTATGAACAAGCCTACCAGCTGCTGCTCAGGTTTAGGGAGTCAGAGGGGCAGAAGGCCACAATAGCACGGCTCATCGCAGCCCTGGAAGAAAATGGTCTCATCAGCTTGGCTGAGGAGCTCCTGGGCCTCCATTCCAGTGAGGACTGATTTAGAGCCCAAAGGGTAGTGGCATTGCTAAGAGCTTTCTTGCTTCAGCTAGTGTAATGAAACTGCTGCTAGTGTCTGGGAATGTAAACTCCTGAAAATCACTGCAGGTTTCCATGCAGGTGGGGATGCCCAGGGGAGAGGTTCTGTGCTCACAGAAGCCAGCACAGACCTCTGACATTCCTTGTTTTATTCTGTTTCCAGAAGTCAGCGTTACTTACCCATGAACTGGTGACTTCCTTCAGGGCTGAAATGTCACAGGGAAGCAGCCAGACAGGTAGAGAGCATAGGGGATAGTGGGGGAGAGGGGAAAGCAGGGAAGGCATCTCAAGAGAATTTCTCTGGGAAGCAGACAGTGCCAGTGTTTCTCAGGCTGTGTGTCACAGCCATCACCTGGAGAGCTGCAGTATATTTTTAATACTGAAGGCATTTATGCCCTCAGATGTGACATCAAGCAAAGGCAAAGGGGAAATTAAGGAAAAGTCAGTTTTACATTGTTTTCCTTCTTTGTTCTTCAAACAAGCAACATCTGTAGCAAATGCATTTGTCCTGCACTGCTCTAGTACAGCTGCTTCCCACCTCTCACCACCTGAAAGTGTTCTTTTACCTGGGACAGTCAGAATCTTCCACAGGGCACAAGATTGCTGCTGTGGAACAAGTTTCAGGCACTGAACAAGCAATATGGACAAACACAAATTCAGAGAATGATTCCCAACTTTTTCTGGACTGTGGTGAACAATAACATACTGACTACCTTGGCCTTAGCTCTTTCCCACCAGCCAGAGGGAGCCCTCATCTGTGAAAAGCAAAACAGTGCTGGAAGGAAAGTAGTCTCCTAGTCAGCAAGTGACCTGTGGTCTGTAGAGTGGAACTGCTGCTCTAAGGGGTGTTGCAGCATCAAGTACCCTCCTGGCACCAGCTCACAGAGCTAAGCAGTCATCTCTGACCAGCTGGCTGCTGGTACCTTCCCTCACTTCTTAACCAACTGCCCATGGCCTCTGGAGGTCACTGGAGAGGAGAGTTCATGCAGTTGTGTGTCCCAAGTGTTAGGATCTGCACAGAGCCTTTCTGTGGCAGCGTTGTCACTGTGTGACAATTGGGGATCAGCTGCTGTGCCTGGATTTACCTGATTTTGAGGGTAAAAATGGCTTAAAGCACCCAAACACGAGGGCTGACTCATGCTTTCCGTTCCAGTGGGAGAAGCCAGCTGTCTCCTGGCATGGTTGGGGGCCTACAAGAAAGCTGGGGAGGGACTTTTTACAAGGGCATGCAGTGACAGGACAAGGGGGAATGGCTTTAACCTGACAAAGGGGAGATTTTGATTAGACATTAGTAAGAAGTTCTTCCCTGTGAGGGTGGTGAGACACTGGCACAGGTTGCCCAGAGAAGCTGTGGCTGCCCCATCTCTGGCAGTGTTTAAGGCCAGGTTGGATGGGGCTTGGAGCAACCTGCTCTAGTGGAAGGTGTCCCTGCCTGTGGCAGGGGTTGGAACTGGGTGAGCTTTGAGGTTCCTTCCAACCCAAACTAGTCTGTGATAGGATGTATGATATGATACGCAGGCTGCAACAAAGCAGAGTTTACACCTTTGCCCATAACATAGCACAGAGCAACAAGTGTCTAACATGACATGGGTCCTGTGAAGCACAACAGCATCTTGATTACCTTTGACATATTCCAAATGCTTTTGCAGTATATTTTTGCTTACCCTTTTCCATTAATTCTGTCCCTCCTTGCCCTTCCCATCCACTGGCATAGCAGTGGGCCTTGGAAAGTATTCCAGCGGCAGAGGGTGGCTCTGCCAGCACACACAAAGCCTGCATGTGTACATGAATATTGGGCTGCTGGCAGTCACGGTAGGACCAGCTTTCAGGCAGTCCAGCCCTGATGGCCTCGTAAACCACAACTCGCATCTTAATCCTGCACTGGAGTCAAAGCTGTAATTCAGTAAGGATGAACACAACCTTGGGTTCAGGTGTGGACTCAGATCTGAGCTCCTGGTGTTGGTGCTGCTCCCTTTGCTTCTGCTGCAATGCATCAGCCAGCTGAAAGCCTGGATGAGCAGGATTTAGCCAGCTTCTACCCATCTGGGGTCCACATGCCTCACATGAGCTGAGCATCACATTCCTCAGTGTAAATCTGTGGATAAAAAGCCAGGCTTTGAATCCCCAAGATTATGTACACAGTGTGGAAAGGAAACGGGTATTAAAAATGAGGAGGAGGTTTTCAGGGTGAATCTGATTCCTTTTTGCCCTTAGCTTCCAAGGAAGCAGGACTTCATGCAGGCACCATCTCTACAAAGATTGTTGCTCTGTGACCTTTTATTAAGCCATTCTGTGTGAGTATTCTTGCAGTCTCTTCTCCCTCATTGCTGCTCGATATCTTACCATCTCTCTTACAGTGCTTTTCCCAAAATGAAGCAGATGTATGTCTGACAGTTTTGCCTTTAGGACCAGCACAGCAATGCTGATCCTAGGTCAGGCTGCTGTGGAACCATACATCAAAGCAGTTGCTTTCCTGCCAGAGCCAAACTGGAGCACTCTGATTGGCAGCAACCCACCTGGCAAACGGTATTTTTAAAACAAACAAAAAGTAGGCAGAAACTTGAATATTACTTTAACAAAAAATGATTGTTAAAAAACAAGGACATATGCATAAGCCTGGTGTCTCATTTGTAATGAGTATTTCTAATTTCTCAGACTACCTATTCCTGTGCACAACTTTCATACAGTTATAAGGCAACCACTGAGTAGTGAGAACTGCTAGCTTTTATAGCATCTGTTAGTGCTCAAAATAAGAAAGGCTTATTATTCAGCATCTACTTAAAGTCCAAAATCCTTCTTTGCTGCTATTACTGTATTACAGAGGACATGAATGCTTTTTTTCTTAATGTAAACCTTATGTATTTTTTTGCTCAGCCAGCAATTGGCATATGTGTTCCCTCTTACTCACAGATTCCCTCTCAAAAGTGCCATTAAGTGCTGGAGCTCATGTCAACCTTCCTGGAATATCATCATCTTTAACAGCATTCACAGGTGCCTTCATTGCAGAGACTCGAAGGAAAAGGGTTTTCCAGTGATATTCCGTGGTGGAATTTTCTTGAGCACATGGTTTGTTTGGGACCATAGCAGTGGCTGTTTCATGCTGCCTTTTCCAGATCAGTCATCAGCATCAGATGCAATGAAAACTCAATTCTGGTCTCAGGTGGACTCCTTCCTGCTGAAAGAACAGGGTTGGTTTTTTTTTTTTATTATCTGGCACAAACTTAGATGAGACAATTTTCCCAGAAGCCTCAGGATTAAATAGGTCAATTGAATTGTGAATATACAATGTCATTTGCATTGATTTGGCATTTGGCTGGGGCTTGACCCTGAATTTACTAGTTTTACCAAGAAGATTTCACAGTGGTTTTCCACTAGAGTACAAAGACAAGGGAACTTGATTAAACAGGGAAGCAAGAAGCACTCACAAAGGAAAAAACATTAGTAGAGATTGGTTGAAAAAGTTAGAGGTGTGTTTTTGCCTTGGATAGTAATGCAAAAAGTGGAACTGAAGAAAGAGCTATATGTTAGGGATACTACCAGGAACTCAGTGCTATATGCTAGACGATGTAGATAATAGCTAGATAATAAGCACCCCTGGTGACTGCCTGGCTGTCATGCTGGCGGAAGGGGAGCACACTCTTGCTTTCTTCCTTGACTGTGCAAAGTTAGTTGTGCACGTACTGCACCTACTCAGATGTGACATGGAAGTGACACTCCCTTACTTCTGTTATATCGATTAGCTAATGTCTAGTGTGTGAGATAAGCCATGGGCAGTGCTGCTGATGATGAATTTGGCCTGACCCCCTAACAGCACTTTTCTGTGTAATGAGATATGTTGGGGAAAAAAGTAATATGTTTTCTGGGGGTGGTGGGGTTCAGAATCAAATATGCATCAAACCAGCACAATACTAAACGCAAATAAAGATGCAAATCAGATGCATATAAAAAAATAAAGCAGACAAAATATGAAACAGCAGGAACCATGCTGAAATCACTTACAGGAAGGGATCCAAGAGGGCTTTTCTGTGGTAGAGATTGTTTTTGTAGTTTAGCAATGTTTCAGATTTGAAGGAGGCTTCTTTCAGTCTGCCAGAAGGAATAAAAGATCCATCCAAAGGAGAATTTGAATGATTTGTTTTGGCATAGTTGAGCTACAGTATTCAAAGGGATAGCAACAAACAGGAGAGTGAAAGTTAAAACACAAACACTTTGAGGTGAGGCATCTGAAACATGAGTGTACATGTATACAGTGAGAGTATACCATGATCCATGGTTGTCACAAAGGAAAATATCAACGCTTTCTGGAGGGTTGAGTCCCTGAAAGGCTGACTTTAACCCTCTTAGGAGCTTGCAATACACCATAGATGAATTCATCTGCTGAGTATTACAGTGCAGCCTCACAGCACATAAAGAAGGTGCTCTCTTCCAGCAACTTCAGTTTTCCCTTGTCACCACTGCTTAGATAGAGCAGTTTGTCAGGTGGAAACAGTACTTGACTCAAAAACAAGGATGGGCTCATTGTGATTGATCAGAAGCACTTCAGTATCATGAGCTGGACTTTAAAGGAATCATAAAATTTTCTTCTGGATTTTCAGAGTAAGTCTAAAAACAAATGTCAACAACTCACAGGAATACTTCCCAGATTTCAATTTTCAGCTTCAGCCCTACCACTGAAAAGATGGATATTTGGATTATCCATCACCCTTATAGCACAGGGCTGGAACTAAGATGACCTTTAATGTCCCTTCCAGCCCAAACCATTCTATGATTCTGTGATTTTTTTTAATGCAAAATGGGGTGCTAATGTCACAGCATGGCAGGTTACAGAGCTTTATTGAAAAAAATTAGAGCCTCCAAGTAGAAGTTTCCTGGAGTTCCTTAATTGGGAAGTCTCAGAACTGTATTCAGTTCAAAATCTGGGGGATGTTGGGGCAGAACACAGAATATACTTTGTCAAGATATGGAAAACATAAGGCAAAAAAAAAAGTGCATAGGCTTAGGGCTGAGGGAAGCTGCTTGCCCAGAGAAGGCCAAGGTGCTTGGTACAGGCACTGCTCCAGACAAATGTATTTTCCCAGTGTGAGGAAATTGTGGGGTTTTTCCTTACCTGTTAATTTTGGCATTCATTTCAAAATCCAGTTCAGCACTGAGAAGCTGTCTTGCTGCCTGGGTCACCATATTGCCTTCCCTCTAAGGTACCTTAGAAACATGTCTGAGTCACACCCTGGCAGCTGTCCACAGACTCTGAAACCGTGAGTGAGCATGCACAGCGACAAGAAGCCTCAGATTCACTTAAACTCCTGGTTTGGTTTAACTGAAAATGCTGGTATAGCCTAGTATTGTACACATCTAACCAAAGAGACACTAGGATAGGAGTCAAGAGGGTTTCTTCAGTCTAACCCACATAATGGTGTGTGTAAGTAAAATTGGTGAGATATGCTTGTCCAATGTAAATCAGTGTCTGGCCATTTGTCTTTTGTACAGAGGTGGGCTCAAACAGTGAGACAGTTTAAGGCCTCAAAAATTTTCTTCTCTGGTTTGAATTTTAAAGCCACTGGAGGGATTTGGCAATACATCTCTAACTGAAATCTGTAGGAGGTGTGTGGTTAAGTCCCTCACTCATCAGTGGAAAAATCCCTTGTTGACTTTCTCATTCCAAATTTCTGTAATATTCAGCATCAGATGTGTATCAGCCATCTACAGCTATGGACTGCAGTGCCATGGATACTCAGACCTAGGACATTCAACCTCCAACAAATTGTCTTTCATAGTAAAAATTACTTTGGTATATTTTTTCCTCTATACTTTTGTATAAATAAATTTTTTTTTAATGAAAATTGCCTCAGAGACTTTCATTAAACACTTAATGCAGGAGTATGAAGGGAGTTCTCTGAAGTTCTGGCCACACTGGCTATCACCAGCTCTCAGAAGAGCATCCAGCCAAAGTGTCTCGATGCTCAAAAGGGTCCTGTCCCAAGGCATACATTTCTACTGACACACCAAGGCCAGTGCTCCACCTGCAAATTCACAGCTCTGATTTCAAGTCAAACCCGAGCTAAGCCACCATGTTTGTTCTATTTCCAGTTGCTGCTTTGAAGGCCAGAAGGGAAGGTTTGTCCCAAACCTGGCACCTGGCAGAGCTCCCTGTGTTTCTTTCAGTGCTGTTATATATCTGGGACTTCTCTGAGGCCATGGCATCGCTGTAATCCTAATGCCTCCCTTTTCCTGAGCTTTCCCACAAGCTGCCTGCCCCATAGGTTGGGAACCAAGGAGTTTGGACATGAGGTCTTCTCCAGTGGCTTTGCACAGGAAGCCACTGGCTGACCTTACTGCTGAACCTGGAGAAATCCTTTTGCCATGAACTCGGGCAGAGCAGTATTTCACCCCGAGTCACTTAAATCTCAGACAGTCCTTGGAAATCACAAGATCAGCCCTTCTTATTCACCACAAAGCTGTATTCCAACTGCATGGCTCAGTGCCTGCAGGAATACAGTGACAGGGAGCAGGGCTCTTCCTTACAGAGCATGAAGGACGCTGGGCACATGGCGTAAAGTGTGCCAACCTGGGGTCAACAGGGCTGACCTACTGGTAACAGTAAACAAGATGAACCATCTTCTAGAACAGAGTGACATGCTATGGGACAGACTAAGGGCACCCCTGCTGGCAAAAATGGATCACTCGTGCATTGGTGCCCAGGGAGCAGGATACAGGTGAGACAGCAACCAAATAGAAGCACCCAAGGAGAAAAATCTTTCACCTCCCAAGCTCCTGGGATGGCTCTCTAACCAATGGCAGCCACAAAGGCACTGCACAGCAATGAGAGCCTCTGCTTTAACTCTCACTTCATGCGAGCAAGTGAAAAGTGTAGTAGGTCCCAAAAGCTGTGTGGGGGAACACAGTAGCAATACCTGCTGTGAGCCCCTGATGGTTTCCGGAAGTAGCCCCCCTCGCGCCACAGCCAGCCCCCTTTGAGCAAAGGTGTGCACTGGTCTGCTCTTCTGATCATCACCTGCCTCCTCATGGAGAAGGGATGAAAACCAGCCTGTGACTGCTGGTGTGGAGAAGGAGAAAGGTACCTTGGCTTGGTGCAGGGAAAGTGTGAAGCTGAGTAGCATTTATGGCAGAGATTTCCAATCAGCTGCACAATTCATCAAGGAACTGCTGTTTCAAATGGATCACAAGGAAAAGGCTTTCCTAGCCTGGAGCACTGGAACGCAGGGCCTGAGGGCTACTCATCAGGAATCTGTCCATATGACAGCTTTTCACAGTGATGTTCTGTTCAACAAAGAACACTGTCATGTTATGCTTATAAAGCAGTTGAATGTTTGTGAAAACAACAGAGTGGATCAAAACCTGCTTTTGTGACAAATCCACTGGAAATTAAAATACTCGCATTCTAAAGGGATCATTACCCAGACCTTTGGCCTCTGCTAGAGGAATAAGGGTTGCTGTTCTCGTTGAAGAGACAAAGAAACAGCCACAGAGATAAGGAAACACGATGGCTGCAGTCGGCTGGCAGGTCAGTAGCACTGGCAATTTAGATTTGACTCTAAATAAAAACATTTTGTTTTGAAGTAATTCAAATAAAATGGGGGGGAAAAGTGTGGTTTAGGATTCTTTTGCGGTCTGGGAGGGACCCTCACATCTGTCCTCAGCCTCTGCGCTGCTCAGCTCCTGCCTCCTCCCACCGTTTCCCTACAAGAGAAAAAGAAACTAACCCCCCAGTAGATTTTCCTTCTGGACCTAACCTCATTTTCTTTTAGAGCCTTTGCAGTGATAAAGTCAATAATCACAAGAGGATTAATAAGAAAAAAAGGCAAACTGGGGGGAAATGTGGAGAAATCAGTACATTTCCTAATGAAAAAGTTACAGCAAAAAAGAAAAAAACCCAGCCTTTTTTGTGGTTGTTATTTGTAACAGGCCAAATGGCGGAACTGGTGGCAGTCCCTGTCCCGGCTCTGCATTCAGTCCCTCAACACCCGGTCCCTGTCCATGGAGGACCATGCGCAGAAGGAGCTGGGGAGCTGCTGGCGTGGGGCTGTGCGGCGCTGGAGCCCATCCGCACTCCCAGCCTGCCCATCACGTGTCAGCGCTTGGAAGCCACCCGAGCTCCTTCCCTTGGTGCGGTTGCCGTTTCCACCACTACAGCGTGTGCCACGACGGAGCCCGGCCTCAACGTCTTGGCCCTGCTGGCACACGCGCCCGTCCCGGCCGGCAGCAGGAGAACTGTGCTGTGTTTCAGCATGGAAACGATGCAGGGAGCGGGAGACAGAGCGCTGCTTTGCTCCGTGAGGATTTCCTCGGTTTTGCTGGATGGCTGAGGAATGTCTAACTACATCCAGATGTGCTGACTTGGCAGCCCGCTGCTGAGACGTTACGAGGGGACACCGGATCAGCGTTATCAAATGGGATGTAAGTATCGGTTATATGTGTTTGATTGGGGTGGGTTGGGGAGTTGTGCAGCAAGCAGTGTCCTTACCGCTTCGCTTTTCCTCCAGCAGTTTTCTCTTTGCCTTCTTGCTGTTGTAGTTGCTACGTGCAGCGACTCGAACTGTGATGGTTAACATGGAGCAGGGTCAGCTACAGGCTCTGAACACGCAGCCTCCAGCCTTGCTATTTGTGCTTTACACTTTACTTTGCAAACAACTTTCCTTGGGTGTTTTAGGTGGTTTTTACAGGAGAAATTCTGTCTTCTTTAGACAGTGCCTCCAGTGCTCCAAGACAGGGTTTATTCACAGCTGCAAACATGTTCTAGAGGTGGCACGTCACACTTACAAGCCATTCCTCAGCACTAAGAGGACATGAATTTTCTCCATGTGTTGCAGTATTGTATGTTCTAAGTAAAACGTGGGAATTCTCAAGCTCTCTACCACCACAGAAAAATAGTTCAGTCCCAGTGAAATGGGCAGTTACTGGTCATATTCTTAACAGCTTTTGGGCAGATTCTTATAAAATTATGTGTTGGGTGTCATCTTGAAATTAGTTAGGCAAGCCAGCATATCCTGTTCATGCCTGCCTGTAACAACCCATCCATGTTAATGCTCTAACTGTAACTGCTGGGTTTGGGGCACATCAAGCAAGTTATTTATTAGATCTGAGGGGGTTTGGGGAGCTGAAGAGCCAGTGGGTGCTGCAAGAGCTGGGAAAGGAGGACAGTTGTTCTGGGGGGCTGTTTCATATGCCTTCACAAGCCTGCAAGGCTTTATCCTCCTGGGGCCAGGGGAAATGGATGTTTGCATGAAAGAGGGCAGGCTCCTTGCCCTGCACTTGGCACTCCAGGAGGGACCTGTCTCCCTGAGGGACTCGGGGGGTGATTTTTGCTGCTGAGGTCTCTGTAATTCCAAAAATAAGGCCACTAATACACAGGACTGGGCTCAGGGAAGCACCTCCTGAGGCTGACAGGCCTCAGATGGGCAGATGGGTTGTGCACTCAAGGCAGGGCTGCCCAGGGTCATCAGGGCATGTCTGTGCACATCTGCTGCTGCCTTCTGCAACTGCACCAGGGACAGTGCAAGTTCCCTTCTGGGACCCCTCTATGTGAGAGCAGGCATCTTTGCATCTACCTCCAGCCTGAGCACAGCAGCTCTGCAGTTTCCCTGCATTTAAGGTTGCATACTTCATAAAACTTCACCGACTGGGATGAAAGCTAAAAAGTAATCACAGCAGCCATTTGCAAGCAGTTATCTAACGTGTGACTGGCATTGCCAGCACAAGAGACTGTAATAAATAGAGACCAGCCAGCTGGGCAGCTGATGAAACAACATACTGCAGTATGGGAAAAGCAGAGAGATAAATCACAGAATCACAGGCTTGTTTGGGTTGAAAGGGACCTCAGAGCTCATCCAGTTCCAACCCCTGCCACAGACAGGGACCCCTTCCACTAGACCAGGTTGCTCCAAGCCCTGTCAAACCCGGCCTTGAACACTGCCAGGGCTGGGGCAGCCACAGCTTCTCTGGGCAACCTGTGCCAGGGCCTCAGCACCCTCACAGGGAAGAGCTTCTGCCTAAGAGCTCATGTCAATCTGCCCCCTGTCAGGTTAAGGCCATTCTCCCTTGTCCTGCACCTGAGAGCCCTTGTCCAAAGCCCCTCTCCAGGTTTCTTGTAGCCCCTTAAGGCACTGAAGCGGCTCTAAGTTCTCCCAGAGCCTTCTCTTCTCTAGGCTGAGCAAGCCCAGCTGCCTGTCCTGTGACATGGATCTCATCCATTCATTTGCACTGGCCTGAAAAGCAGCTCCATCAGGAGAGTTGGAAACTGTCTCTTGAGTGAGGCCTGCATTTTTATTACCTGCATGCATCCTGTTTCAACCAACAGAGCTCCTGCTTCCAGGGGCTGCAACACAAGTAATGGCAGCAGAGACGCAGTGCACGGGGCCGGAGCACTGCTGTGATGGCAGCACCAGTGCTACAGTGTGCAGCTGAGCAATGTGAGCGTCTGCCCTCTGCATCCCTGAAACGGCTCTCTTAAGACATTCAGCTAATTAAATCCTACAGCCCATTCTCTGTGTGATTACAGACTTCAAAACTGAAGCAGCTGAATGAGATGGGCTCTTTTTTCCTGTTAAGGCAGTTAGTGATTGTTCTGGTTGCTTCATTTTTCTAGAGCTGTGCCCTAACCAGTGTGCCAAAGGGCATCTCTCGTGTTGCAGCTGGCCCTGTCTTCTAGTCAAAAAGATCAAATCATTCAGCATTGCTTTGTAATCCTATAGCTCCAAATGAGACCTCTTCACAAACACACCCTAACACAGAGAAGAGATGTCTGGCACCAACCCTACTTGCAGCATCAACTTTGATGAGATTATTGACTTTGCCTGAAGGGGGGGAGGAATC